CATATCAATTGTTCCAATCATTATGTGTAATAGGCACCCACCATTAAGCATGCCACCATGGACATCTTTAAAAAAAAATTAAAATAGATCTCATGTAAATCAGTAGCTGAGAAATAATAATCACACAGTTCATACTAATCGAAAAGTACCAGCATCAAAGAAAAATGCAAATCCCATCACCAACGCACAGTTTTTTCTTTTGAGCATCAACTCAAACCACTCGCTAGGACAATTGATGAATAAAACCGAAATTGAACTAAAAAGGTAAACCCTAGTTCACAAGCTAAATGCAGAAAATACAGAGACAATAGGAATTACCGTCCATCCCGCATTTCAAAATCTCGCTCGCGGTCTCTTTCTCTCTCGGAGCGACTCAGGCTCCTTCTGGATCTCTCTCTCTCCTCTCGCTCCCTATCCCTCTCCCGTCTCTCGCGCTCCTTTTCCTTATCCCTATCACGATCTCTCCTATCCCTGTCCTTATCCTTATCCTTATCCCTCCTCTCTCTATCCTTATCCCTCTCTTTCTTCTCTCCATCTCTATCCCTCTCGCTCCTGTGACGGCCGGAGGAACGGTCACGTTCGCGGTCTCTATCTCTTTCCCTGTCGCGATCTTTCTTGGAACCGCCGTTCTCGTCGTCACCCCTCCTCTTGCTTCTCCTGTCCTCGGCATGGAGATCGTCCTCGACGTCGCGCTTCCGGTAACTCCTCTCGATCTTGTCGGTGATCTCCTTCTTCTTTTTGGAGGAATCTACATCTTCCTCCACTGTCTTCTCCAGGTATTCGTACTCGTCGAAGTCCATTGGCTCTTCCTTCCCTCGAATTTCTCTCCCTCTGCTTGAGGAAGACACTGTCTTAGCCGAATTCAGATATTCTAGGGTTTTAGGCTTTTCTTTACTCTTTCAGTCTTTGCAGGGGAGAATAGACGTTGCTTCCTCTTGTATCATAACAGTATTATAGTAGCTTCAATTCATATCCAAATAAATAACTATTTTGTTAAATAAATTTTAATTATACCATAATAATTATATGATTTATGATAGTTATGATTAATTTTAAAAATATAGCAATTTGGTTATTAAATAAATATTTAAAGTATTCATAGACATTCGATTAATTATACAAATAGATGAAAAAAAAGTTATATAAATTTAAATATTTAAAAAAATCAAGTTTTTAAGAGATTAACTATTTTTATTTTAATTTAAATCTCTCGAATATTTTAAAAAAATACTTTTAATGTTTAAATATTCATCATGGACAACTTTGGACAATATAATTAACTGAAGAAACAGCTTAACAGTAAAATAATAATTTATTAGATATTATATATATATATATATATATATATATATTATATAATTTAGATAAAAAAAACACGCAAGCATATTATCAATTTTAGTATAAACTTATTTAAACCTAAATTAAAAATATATTTATATTAAAATTAAATAAAATAAATTACTTTGTATTTAATATGAAATATATATTAAAACTAAGTTAAACAACTTACTTTGTATATAAATATAATATTTTTGACATTTAATAAAAAAAACTTAAACTCATTCTAAATTATTATCTATATTTCTCTCTTTCTCTCTCTGACTCACTCTATCTATCAATCTCTCTCTATATATATTAATTTATAAAAACAAATAATAAATGAATAACACGAGCAAGCACAAAAAAAATTATTTATTTATTAGGCGGAATGACTCCTTTCCAAAATGAAAATGTTGATTAAATTGAGCAACATGATCAAAATATATTGATTTTTTTCTTTTAATTACACACTAAAATTGATATAAAATTTATAAAATGTTAGAATGTTTAGTTTTTATCCATTTAATATTTCTAAAAATTTTACGTTACATTGAAAGTTTTATTTACATGAATCATATATATATATATATATATATATATATATATATATATATATATATATAACATTTTATATTATTATGAAATTATTTGATGTTTACTTTATATAATTAAATTATTATTGTGGCTGAATCTTTAAAAGATTCCACTTACATTTTTGTTGGAAAAAATATGATGGATATGATGACATTTTATAATAACGACGTGTGTGTTTATTAATATCACTGTTTAGAATTACAACAATATTGAGAAATGATTGTATTTTTTGTTTTTCATTTTTTCTTTCAATCACTTAATATTGTTAATATGATCTTTTTTTTTCCTTGCCTATTTCACCTCCTTCCAAATTTAATGATATAAATAATAGCATGTTTATATCCAATATATATATATATATATATATATATATATATATATATATATATATAAACTTTTGAATCTAATTGAAATATAGAAAAGTCTATAAAAAAACATTAAGGACACAATATTTTCATAAACAAAATAAATGAAGATAATAAAATAATAAAAAAAGTTAAAGTTGGTAAATAAAGACCATCACAAATCATATTAACTTATACAAAATAAAATTAAAATAGACATTATAAATAAGATAGTTTTTTTTTTCTGTTGAAATTTTAAATTAAGTAAAATATTAATGATATTTTGTCACATAAATATCATTAAAAAATTTATAAGGAAAATAATCTAATATTATAATTTATCTAGATCGTATTTTCAAAGAGAATTATTCGATGTTATTTAAGTATTGATTTTTAATTAAAAATATTAAAAAAATGTAAAAAAATAAGGATGATCAAGTAAAAAATAATAAAAAAAATGCTAATCCCTTAATTAAAGGAGTAAACTAATCTAACAAAAATTGTAAATAAAAACATTTAAAGAAAATAATAAATGCATAAAATGTAAAAAATAAGCTGTAAATAAAATATATATATATATATATATATATATATAAACTTTTAAAAATAATGTGAAGTTCAGTAAAAATAAAATTAAAAAAATAAATATAAATCTCAAATAATGATTTGTTGATATGAATATTATTGATTTATAAAATTTTATTTTGTAATCATCAAAATAAATTTTCGATAATAATAATTTAAGAAAAGTAAACTCAACTTAATTAATAAATCAAATAATCACTTAAATTTATAAATTATATTATGACATAAAAAAAATTAAATCAAATAATGTTAATTAAATTAATTATAATAGATTATAAATTGATAAAATGGTTAATAATTAAATATAAATAATAGAAACACAACTTTTAATTAGAATTAAAAATTCTCACGTTTATTTACACAATAACAATAATGTACAAAACGTGATAAAAATTTCATAATTATATATTATAACTCAAATAACTTTATATTTAACTGAGTTTTGTAATAAAATTTACCCAGAAATTCATTGAATAGATTTGACGGATAAATAGTCGATAAGATAAGATATTTTTGTTTAACTAATAGTTTGTTCGCTGAATGAATTGGGTCACGGTTAATGCATCCGAAAGAAATTCGCTGAAAGAAATTACTAGGCGTAGAGTGATTATTCAATATAAAATTTTATAACTTACAATTCTTATAAAAATAAAAAATTAAAATATATAATTTAAATAATAAATTATATTCATATATATACGTATATATTTTATAAAATCTATATTAAATATTAATAATTAATAAAAGAAATATATTAAATAAAAGTTATATATATATATATATATATATATTAATAGACAATTAATAGACAATTAATAGACACAAAGATCAGAGTGATTATTCAATATAAAATTTTATAACTTACAATTCTTATAAAAATAAACCATTAAAATATATAATTTAAATAATAAATTATATTCATATATATACATATATATTTTATAAAATCTATATTAAATATTAATAATTAATAAAAGAAATATATTAAATAAGAGTTATATATATATATTAATAGACAAAAGGTTAATTTTTTATTCTATATTTAGTCGAAAAAGTATGTTAAATAACCTATTTAAATATTTAACATTGACCAATATAATATAAATACTGGAATGCATTCAATCAAGTAAATTTAATGAAGTTTTTTTTTTAAATACACCATTCATTTTATTATTCATTCAAACTGCACAATATTTTATTTATTAATGTAAGCTGTTGACCATTATTATAATAAGTAAATTTATGTTTGTCCAATATTTGTCATGGTTTACTTAAATTGTTACAAGTGGTAGATGAAGTTAACAAACTTAAATTAACTTAATTTACAATATGATACAACGTTTTAATTTTCACATTAATGTAGATACTTGAATCAAGTTTATTTTTTAGAAAATGCATATACTTATTCTACATTTATATTAGTGATATTTAATGTATACTTGACAATATTGAAAAAATTAACTGTGTCCAGGGCTCTCCGAAAACTAGGTCTTGGTACTTGTTTCTCAAAAAAAAAATGTTATATATATATATATATATATATATATATTTTAAATTAAATATAATAATATTTTTTGTTTTAATTTTAATTTTGAACCTAAACATTTTAAAAATAAATAATAATTTTAAAAAACAGGTACATGATTCAGTTCAATATATTTTACCTACATAAAATTAAACAATGTACAAGTAAAATGTACAGATTTTTTATTTTTTTTTAAGGAGGAAAAACAAATATATTGTAACACACGTAATTAATACCCTACCGTCGCGTACCGTTAGTATCAAAACAATTCATAGCTATTCATGAATCCAATCCAACGGTCCACAGAAAACAGAGCATAAAAATTGAAAAACAAAAGACCCTAAGAAAACGCCTCAAACTTTATTTCAAAGGAGCGTGGTCCCGCGTCAGCGTAACTTAAGCTTTGACGCTCCCACCATTTCATTCAAGTTCCAAATTCTAAATCCAGCGGGAAAATTTCGAATCGCACACATTTGCGAGGGAACCCTCCTTATTCGGGCAAAACAAACCAAAAACACAAACTATTCTCACATCCTAGGCTCACTCTATATATATTATCGAGCCTGCATCAAAACTGTTCGACAAAATTCTCCACTGAGAAACATTGAAAAAAAAAAAAAGAGAGTGGCAGGATGTATGTGGTGAAGAGAGATGGGAGGCAAGAGGCGGTGCATTTTGATAAGATCACTGCACGCCTCAAGAAACTCAGTTATGGTTTAAGCACCGAACACTGTGACCCTGTTCTTGTATCTCAGAAAGTGTGCGCGGGCGTCTACAAGGGCGTTACCACCAGTCAACTCGACGAGTTGGCGGCGGAAACTGCAGCTGCCTTGACCGCCAACCACCCTGACTATGCTTCCGTAAGTTTCCGTTTCTCTCTCGTGGTTTTTGTAATTCCTATCCTTTCTCGTGGTTTTTGTAATTCCTATCCGTGGATCAGAGACTGATCTTTGTGTTTTGTGTTTTGTTCAGTTGGCTGCGAGGATTGCTGTTTCTAATTTGCACAAGAACACGAAGAAGTCGTTTTCCGAGACGTAAGTGAGATGGAGAATGAATTTTGTGTTTTGCTGTGATGATTTATTGTTTACCGTGTTTAATTGTGAACGTTTCAGGATTAAGATTATGTATAATCATTTTAATCAGAGATCTGGAATGAAGGCTCCTCTGATTGCTGATGATATCTATGAAATTATCATCCAGGTAATTCTACTTATAGTGGCTATTCTGAATTTGAAGTTTGGTTTATCTGTTTATTTGTTCTTTGTTTAACTGCTTCTGTGTAACGGATCTGCTGTTGTAGTTGGTTCGAGTTTCAAATTGGGAGTTGTAGGCCATTGGGTGGTTTAGTACAATCACTGATTATGTGTGTTATAGTGTATGCTTTGGTCTTTCGATTGGATTTGATGATGAGTGTTTTAAACTTTGCGGCTGTTTTGGTATGATGGGAATTTCACTTTTGTGTTGTTTTCTTTTTTGCCTTAGAATGCGGCCCGATTGGACAGTGAGATAATCTATGATAGGGATTTTGACTATGATTACTTTGGCTTCAAAACCCTTGAAAGGTCCTATCTCTTAAAGGTTCAAGGAAAGGTTGTGGAAAGACCACAGCACATGTTGATGAGGGTTGCTGTTGGAATTCATAAGGATGACATTGATTCTGCCGTCAAGACTTACCACATGATGTCTCAACGATGGTTCACTCATGCGTCTCCTACTCTTTTCAATGCAGGAACACCTAGGCCACAGGTATGGTTTCTGTTAATGCCCTTTTTCCTCCAATTCTCCCTCCTTTTGATAATCCTGGATCTCATTTAATTGGATATGCTCATGTTTTTGGCAGTTGAGTAGTTGCTTCCTTGTGTGTATGAAAGATGATAGTATAGAGGGAATATATGACACTTTGAAGGAGTGTGCTATCATTAGCAAATCAGCTGGAGGGATTGGTGTTTCTGTTCACAACATTCGAGCCACAGGCAGTTACATCCGTGGCACAAATGGAACATCAAATGGTATTGTTCCTATGCTGCGTGTGTTCAATGATACTGCTCGTTATGTTGATCAAGGGGGAGGCAAGAGGAAAGGTATATTGTTTATCCTTTATTGACATTTTGTATAATTTAATGAATAATGTATTAGTTACTTACCATGTCATGTTCTTCTTGTAGGTGCATTTGCTGTGTACCTAGAGCCATGGCATGCTGATATATTTGAATTCCTGGATTTAAGGAAAAATCATGGGAAGGTATGATTGAAGTGATTCAGAAAAGAAGCAATTCCCCACAATCATGGCCCTAGTTCTTAGTTCATGATTCTTGAAAAATTGTCCTGTTTGGCTGATATAGTGACATGTTAATGTTATTCCTGCAGGAAGAGCATCGTGCTAGAGATTTATTTTATGCTCTTTGGGTGCCTGATCTCTTTATGGAAAGAGTTCAGAGCAATGGGCAATGGTCTTTGTTTTGCCCCAATGAAGCACCAGGTTTGGCTGATTGTTGGGGGGAAGAATTTGAGAAACTGTACACTCAGTATGAAAAAGAAGTAAGTTTGGTCTATGTTGTTTGTTTGTTTTGCATGTTTTGAATTTCCTTGTTGCTTATTGTTTGGCTTGTTTTTTATTTTAATCAAATTCATGTGGGTAAATAGGGAAAAGCAAAGAAGGTTGTTCAGGCACAGAACCTCTGGTTTGAAATTTTGAAGTCCCAGATTGAAACTGGAACCCCTTACATGCTTTTTAAGGTGGTTTAAAAATGCGTGTTTTGCTCTCTCGAAATTTCTATTTCAATGCATTTTGTTTATTTTTAATTGAAACTTTCCATTTTCTATATCCTAGGATACTTGCAACAGGAAAAGCAATCAACAGAATTTAGGCACAATCAAATCATCAAACCTTTGCACTGAAATAATTGAGTACACAAGTCCAACAGAAACTGCTGTGTGCAATTTGGCATCAATTGCTCTGCCACGATATGTAAGAGAGAAGGTAGGATCTCTGCCACACTTCATGAGTTAGGGTAACATATATTTGGTTCCTAGGTAGCTAGGCTAACTTGTTATTTCTGTTTATGAATGTTTATCTGCTTACCGTAGGGTGTGCCCATGGAATCTCATCCATCTAAGCTTGTTGGGAGCAGAGGCTCAAAAAACCGATACTTTGATTTTGACAAATTGGGAGAGGTTCAATTTCTTGTGAACTACATACAATGCTGGATTATTTTTACATGTTTCAATATATGAACGTACATTGACATTATCATTAAATGGTCACTTTTGTGATGGTTATGTGTTTTGTTGGTTGTGACTAATTATAGGTTACTGCAACGGTGACAACAAACCTTAATAAAATAATTGATGTTAATTACTACCCTATCGAGAATGCTAGAAGATCAAACTTACGCCACAGACCCATTGGTATTGGAGTTCAGGGTCTTGCTGATACATTCATATTACTTGGCATGGCATTTGATTCACCAGAAGTAAATGACTTTTGCCGGACTGTTCATTTATAGTTTAAGCTAGATGTTCTTCAATTTAATAATTTTACATGGTTATGGGATGCAGGCTCAACAGTTAAACAAGGATATATTTGAGACTATATACTATCACGCTCTAAAAACTTCTTGTGAATTGGCTGCTAAAGAAGGTCCCTATGAAACATATAGTGGGAGTCCAATGAGTAAGGTATATTCTTGTGAAAGTCTTTTCTACTGTGTCTTTTTATCTTCTGCTATATTCATAATGCAGTGGAGCACAGATTTAGGACTGTAGGTAGAAATGTAAACACCCAAGATGTTTTTATGTGGTGGCTTAGGTGGTTTTTGTTTTGTGCAGGGAATTCTTCAGCCAGATATGTGGGGTGTGATGCCCTCGAGTCGTTGGAATTGGGATGCACTTCGGGAGATGATATCTAAGACGGGTGTGAGAAATTCACTTCTTGTTGCCCCTATGCCAACTGCATCTACTAGCCAGATTCTTGGCAATAACGAGTGTTTTGAGCCATATACTTCTAATATTTACAGTCGCAGAGTTCTAAGGTTTATTCCCATCTCAAATTATTATGTTTTGATAACTTGTTGATCTACCTGCCTGTTAACTGTTTGTATTTCAGTGGTGAATTTGTTGTAGTGAACAAGCATTTACTTCATGACTTGACCGAAATGGGGCTTTGGTCTCCTACAATCAAGAATAAGATAATATATGAGGATGGTTCGGTTCAGAAAATCCCAGAAATAACTGATGAGCTAAAAATCATATACAAGTATGGGAGTTGTGATTTTGTAACTTGCCTAAACTTGACTCTTAAGATATTTATGCTAACTCAGTCTGAAATTGCCAGGACTGTTTGGGAGATAAAGCAAAAGACATTGGTTGATATGGCTGTTGATCGAGGATGCTACATAGATCAGAGTCAGAGTTTAAATATTCACATGGATCAACCCAACTTTGGAAAGTTGACTTCCTTGCATTTCTATGCATGGTCAAAGGTATCAACCTTTTTATTAGAGCAATTTAAAATGTTGTCTCCATTAAATCACATTGTGTTTGGTTGGATGTATTTTTAATGTTAAATTATGTTAAATTATGTTCACATTTCAAATAGATAAATCTATACACTGCCTAGTGCTGGGTTTATTTCTCCTGCGTTTACTTATGAATCTACTAGATGAACTTTATCTTGCTAGGAACTAGGTCTCTTTGTTGTGGACTTTTATACTAACTACTAACTATTTGCTGATTGGTATTTATTATTGCCTTTTGTTTTGACATTAAAGGGTTTGAAGACTGGGATGTATTATCTGCGATCACGTGCAGCAGCTGATGCTATCAAGTTCACTGTTGATACCTCTATGCTCAAAGTAATGAGAAATCATGGTTATCAATCTTATTCATTTTATTTAAACATTTGATATTAAATATTTCTATTGTGTGTGCAGGAAAAACCTACGGTGGAGGAAGAGGACGATAATACCAAGATGGCGCAGATGGTGTGCTCTCTAACAAACAGAGATGAGTGCCTGGCCTGTGGAAGTTAAAGTTGCATTTTTCCTGATTAATTTTGGACCTATAATCTCTTGAGTGCAAACCCCTTTGAATCCATACATATAATCTTAAGCATTCTAAATTATTTTTAGAGCTTTGTACAGCAGTTGTGGTGTTTCATTTGTATTATTTATATATATGTTAAATGTTAAATAGTTGAAGGATGTTGGGATGGTAGTATGTCATTCTATGTTTTTCAAATTGGATTCTTCATGAAATTTGATTAAGTTACTAATTATTCATAGTTTAATGATTGATTTGTCATTGAATTAGTATTTATAAAATAATAATCAAAATGATGTATAAAGGTGTTTGTAAGGTAATATTAAATAAATTTAATATCATTGTTTTTTAAGTTTAAATATACTTGAAAGTTTTAGCAAAATACATTGTAACATTTAAATTTTAATAAATATATTAATGTTAATTAACAATAATGAGTTGACAGTAAAATTTTTAAAAATTACAAGGCTTTCACTCCAAATAACTTAATTTAATTAATTTTGCTTCACATTGATTCGATTTGATATAGCTTTGATTTTTTTTTTAAATTATATCTAATTTAAATTTACTTAATTATATTGAATTTAAAATTAAAAATATAGATTTAAATTTAAGATGAATCTATTAAAATAAACTAAAAAGTAATTTAAATTTGAATGTCATTTATTTTGTTAAAACTCTTGTTTTCTCCTTGTTACAAGACTTTTCGTTTTTTTTATATCATCTATAATAGATGATATGATATTTTTTTATTCTTATATACATATATTTATTTTCTATGCCAACTCTTTATTATTTTGTATTTATTGATAGTTTATTAACAAGTTTTGAATGTTATTCATTATAAATTTTTTGATATAAATTTTAGAACACAATCCAAAAATCTTTTAACATTATGTGAGATGAATTTTATTAAAAAATAAACTTAAAATACTTCAATATAGACTTAAAAAAAAATTTGAAATAAGAGTTATGGACCTTAAGAGTTGATACTCCTAATTTAAAATGTTCATAACTCACGCTTTACTTGACAGAGAGGATGCATGGTGATAAAAAAACTAAAATTAAAATAATACTATTTTCAGAAACACTTAGGTTGTAATTCAAAAATTGGACCATGGTCTAATTTTTTTTTAAAGAATACTACATATAATGTACTTATTTTTTTACACAAGATTAATATTTCTTTTAAAAGAAGGAAATTTTACTTTATAAACTATTGGATTAATCACCATGCATAAAATAGGAAAAACAATAAGAATTAGTACTATAAATGTTCTATATTTCTTTTTTTTTAATATTTAGGCAATTTTTTTTTTAAATGAGATGTTAGTAAAAAATAAGAAAAATATTATAAAAAATAAGTAAGAAATTCTATTATTTCAATAGAATCAATTATTCCAGTCTAAAAAATATTTATATTATATCTCTTTTTATTAAAATTCAACCAGAACTAAACATGATAATAATAATACCTATTCAAAAAGATTTTTTTTCCACCTTAAAATTCATTAAATAACTGTAGAGACGGTTGATAAACTCTGTTTTAATTAAATAAATTTATTTTACTTAACAAAGACATGATGTTTGTTTGGGTACCACCACATTATCATTCCACAACTCGACAACCGATTCCGCGTTTATATTCACGTCCGTCGTTTGAACAAACAAAGCGTTGACCCAAACCTTCTCCACCTTCTATTCTACACAGATTGCAAGAGTACAAGGCTGAGTCATTTTCATCAATAGATTTAATTATATAATTTTTTTAAAAGGCAGATTTTTAAGTACAGTAAAGTACTAATTCCACACCAAGTCGGCAAATTTTAATGGCAGATTATTATTTAATTCATTCTTAATCATTTTCACCTTTGATAAGAAGAGTCTCTTGCATTATTTTTTAATTAATTATTTTTATTATGGATTAAAAAAAAAATTTCGAACCCATTTATGCAGGGTGCCCACTAAAAATATTTTTTCTTTCTCAATTATCATTTGTATCTAAAAATTAATTATATGGGTCATTCTACTAATTGAAGGTAAAATTATTACGGCTATTTTCTCTCCAAATACTAATGTAATTGTAATTTTAAGAATATTGATTTTAATTTCTCCGTTAAATTAGAACAGTGTTTGCCTATTAATTTACACATTTTAGTCTCCGGAAAATTGTATTGTTAATGCTACTCGAGAAAAAAAAAACAGTTATCAAATACGTTTTTTAATTTTTTAAAACTAAAAAATTTAAAACTTTTTTAAAAACCAATAACAAACTAGTCTGCCAATTTATACCCACCGTTAGCCATACATTATTTTATCATTACAAAAGTATAAATATACATTTTAACTTTTAATGATGCAATTTACAAGAGAATACGAAAATAATAAATTAAATGAGAAGTTACGGTTTTTTTATTATATATATAATAGTGAATGAAAAAAACTTAGGATTAAAATATATTTTAATTTTATAGTTTTATTAATTTGCAATTGTTATCCGTTAAAGTTTATTATTATACATTTCTATTAATATCCTACCCAGACAACTAACTAATATCATGAATATCTTTTATTAAAAGTTAAATAATGTAATATAAATCAATGAATAAGTTTGTTTAATTTTAGAAAAATCAAATATATAATTAATTTTTATTTACACATATTCAAGGTTAAAATATGGGACTATAATATAAGAAGAAAAAAATGATAAATTAGGTGATGGTCCCTGGATTGGTTTAGGATAAAACGTAGGTTGATGAATGTGTAAGATTAGGTGTTCGATTTGAACACTTTGACATGTGGTCGTGTAAGTTCAATTGTACTTTCTCATTCCCTATTCTATATATTCAACTTTTGATTGATGATGTGTGCTGGCAATGAAAACACGTTTCTTAAAAGAGATCTCAAATAAAAAAGCATTAACCCATGAACTGCGCAATGCAATTTGCCAATTTGATATCAACTAGAAAACACATCCACGTTCATCCAATCCTAATTCAACCAAATTCAGTGACATAGTTAAATTATGATTATAACCATTATTATAATCATGATTAAGTATATAAGATAGACCCACGAATAAAACAAGTTAAAATGTTGTCTTTTGAGGTCGGCTATATCACTGTTACAACCTTCTTTCTGATCACCGACCTGCTGAAAACCCTCAAGTTGGTTCTCTCCACAGAAACGCAACCTAGTTTTCAGCTTTCACACCGTATCTCCTTTGACCCATCATTAATCTGCAATCTCAATCTTGTCTTTGTTTCCTCGATTCATCCACTTGGGAAACTAGTTAAAGCAGAAGGAAAAAAACCCCACGCTACCTTCAAACTCCTAACACTTTTTTGTATTATTAGTAGTTACTCTTGCATTTATTTCAGATATTTGTGTACAAGTTTGTTTGTTCCATACTTTAAACATCGACGACTGTTGGTGGCGGCTACGATTAAATTCAACTTTTGCTTGCTATGAAAAGAGTTGGTTGTGTTAGAGTTTGGCTTTGAACTTCCAAGGTAGTGCATGCAAAAAGGGGCGAAGTTATATGTTGTGTTTATGGCGGATGATAAAGAAAAGGGTAACGAGGTTGACCAGAGTTACTTTGGTGAAGCGAGAGACTATCACACGTTGTCAGTGCCAGTGATGTTCTCAGGGTTGAATAGGGAGAGGGAGATGTCAGCCATGATATCTGCTTTGACTCATGTTGTCTGTGGAGAGGAACATGCTCATGAACACTCGTTTCTTCATCAGAACATTGATAACAGTGGCATTGGTGGTAGTGGTGGTGGTGGTGGTGATGGTATTACCGTAACATCGAACATGCCTTCTGGTTCCATGACACCATCCTTTGCATGTTCATCTTATTTTGGAAACTCTGTTCTCAAGAGAAGGAGGGAAGGTGACGATACAAGTGATCTCTCGCGTGGAGCGTCATGCCCTGCTATTTCAACATGTAAGCACAAACTGCATAGTCCATATTCTAGAATGATACAATCCTTTTTCCTTTTTGGTCTCATATATGCTGTTATTTTAATGTGTTATTTTACTAATGATTGACAAAGCTAGAACAATGAGATTATATAAAAAGAAAAGCAGAATTAAAAAGGTTAGGTGGTAGGCTCCTACATGAGTAGCAATATATCTTAATATAATATTTATATGAAGATGACATGTTATGTTTGATGTTACATCACAGAAAAGTTGAAGAAATACCTGTAGTTATATGTAACGTTGGATTTGATTTGTGTGTGGAAAACAGATAAAGTTGGGGAAAGGAGAGAAATGGAGAGTAGGGAATACGATTACGAGTACAGGGTAGAAGAGAGGGTGAGAGTGGAAGAGGAACCGAGGAGGAAATACAGAGGAGTGAGGCAGAGGCCATGGGGGAAATGGGCTGCAGAAATAAGGGACCCGTTCAAGGCTACCAGAGTATGGTTAGGAACATTCGAGACTGCTGAGGATGCTGCCAGAGCCTATGATGAAGCTTCTTTGCGTTTCAGAGGAAACAAGGCCAAACTCAACTTCCCTGAAAATGTGAGGCTCAGACAACACCCACCACCAACAACCACCCATTTCACCGTGCCCCTTTTCTCCGTTCCGTCTACAACTGAACCAATTGTTCACACTCAGCCTCAGCCTCAGGGTTCACGTGATTCCGGCAACTTCTACGAGTATTATAATTCAAATGTTCATGAATTTCCCGTGAGCCTGTATGACCAGGTTCCTGTGTCATCATCATTCTCTGTTGGGGCTGCTCATTTTCAATCTTCACCTTCCTATTCTTCTTCCTCGACTATTCCTTCCCTTTATCCTACGCACCCACCCCCATGGTCTTCTTCTTCTGCTGCTCCTCATACTTACACCTCTTCTTCAGGATCATAATCATATAAATTGCATTTATTTTAACTCTCACCCTTTAATCATTGTTATTCTCCTCTGTTTTCTGCTTTCGCGTTTGCACCACCACCATCACCATCCACTACTGGATTTTTTCTATATATTCGTAATAAGTATCAGTTACTTGTATTAATACTTAATATTTTTTTTACTGAATAATATTAATAATGAGTTTTAACTCAATATTATTGAAAATGTAGCATTATTTATTAGCAATTAAATAATATATTAATATTAAACTAAAATTGCTTAATTGAAAAAAAACAAACTAGAAAACTAATTATGCTGATAAACTAAAATCACATATTGGCATTGGCAAAACAATGAAACCAAGGACCAAAAATAAATTTAAGTCTAAGTTCTATTTTCTTATTCTCTTGTTGAAGACAATTTAACAGTAGATAATTATAAATAATTCACCAAATTTGTCCATTATTTCTGACTATCTTATATAGGATATACCATCTCAACAAAGTTTTATTTACAAATATATATAACAATTTAAAGGTTATTTCAAATAAAATGATTTTGAGCAGAAGAAAATTTGACAAAAATTAAGTTTGAAAAGTAAACGGCATAATAAACGTCGTTTGAATGGTATGTAAGATTCATTTTTTTATACATAAATTTCGAAAAGGATATAACTAAAATTGACAAACGATACATTCCGACGAATAAAGCAAAATACATCTTATGAGGATTTGGCTGACCTTCCTCAAGCGAAACCATTGTTTCTTTTTAAGTATGTGTCACAACCTCACAACAAACAAAATATTGAACCCATTTTGAAAGAATATTAGGTGTACTAATGTACCCTGTCAGAAGCTGTGACTACTAGGTGTGCAACTTCAGTTCAGAACAAGAAAAATACACATTCGAAATAATCTAAATTCGCAAGTTAGTGGAATCCGCCAAATGTCATGGTCAAAAGTCTGCACCCAGTTTTACTAATTTATAAAAACAATACGAGGTTCTAAAAGACCCAGTTTAACTATGAATTGCGTCTGAGAAAGGTAATTTCAATTTAATTATGACTTTGAAGTAACTTCCAAACGAGGAAATGATGCAAACCTAGATCACACGTTCACAACAAATTCACCAATGACGTGCAAAGCTACCAAGAAAATTTATTATTCAACAAATTTGCTATTATTTAGTACCACCAAAGAGTTACATAAAAAATTCTTACGAATAAAAGATATTACTTAAATATGAATCGACATATAGTTAAAATAAGTAAAATTTTCTTATGTGAACAACTTTTATCTGCTTTGAACAACCGATGACAATTTTGTTGTTTTTATATATACATGTAATTTTGATATACAATACAGTAAAATATATAAAACATAAAATAAAGATATAACAATATAATATTTTTTATCCTAAATTAAAGGAATATTCTCAACAACTCTACAATTTTAACAATTCTAAAATCTATGTTAAAATAACATTTTTTATTAATACAATTCTTCCAAATAATTTTTATTGAAAATGCTCTTCAACAGCTGTTAACCAAAAGAATAATATCGTTTAATTATAATTTGATTAATTACTTTATCCTTGTATTTTCTACTCAACAAAATCATGTATACACTCTCTTCCCTCAAAACTCCTGCATCTGACGTAGCCCTCGGAGACCCCAAAAATTACGTATTCGAACAATAGAGATGCATGTATGCAGCTACAAATTGTCATTCAAGGAAAATAACAGGTACAAGTTGCACCAAAAGATGTAATAGATAAAAAAAAACGAGGTACAAGAGGAAAAATAAAATCAACCAGGCAAAAGAATATAAATGAGCAAGCACTCAATTTCTAGCCACCGCTTCAATCAGGATCCTGTCACAAGACAGTGGTAAGGTATGGATGTACCAGTAGTATACAACAATGCTACTTACTAATACGCATATATCCAGCTCTACCTGAACGCATGCGCGATAAAATATAAACTGAAAAAGGGATCATCGTTCAACGAAATTCCTCACCAACTCCGCCGGTGATAATTTAAAAAAACATTCTTGCAAAAGGCAACTTCAGCCCCTGCAATTACCAGAAACAAGCATTATGACAAAAAAAGGAAATACTTGAGCCTTGAACAGTCACGATACAACCATTTTCCATTGACCAACTTCCCTTCCCGTGTCCCCAACAAACTACCCCTTAAAATAGTGGCAATAAGAAAATTGGAAGGAGAAAGAGAGGAAAGTGGGAAAGAAACCTCACCTGTGATTTGTAACTGCTGACATGAACTTTCTTAAACCTTCAACGCAGCTTTATGGACCATGGTTTCCTTGTGTATTTGATGACAACTCTTCTCCACAAGATCAAGAAGTTTCTCCAAGTTTGCTGCCCAGGAGTTAAGAAGATCATTGCTATCCTTTGCTGTTTGGAAACAGACTATTCCCATTGGTCTATCAATCTTTGCCACCAGCGCCTTAGACACTACCATATCTGAAAGATGCTTCTCAGCTTCCTGAATTTGTATGAAGTATAAACTAGAATCATCACACTAAAAGAGATAGCGTTTTAATAAAATGATATAAATTTTGTTACAACATCCATATTCACATGTAGATCAACAATAAACAAGATAAATCACGTTAGACCATAAATTTTCCTTTGAAGCACTAGCATCCTGTGGCAGGCTAGGTGTACTCACAATTTCAAAGATATTTCTACGGTAGTTGACTTAAAAGCCCAACCACAACTAGAATTACACACCTGTACACTGAGGCACAAAAGCTCTGCAAGCCTTTTCAATGTAATTCTTGCGTAGTATTTTGATACAACTAGAATATTCTGAAAGGTAACAAAAGGGCTCCATATTAATGCTCACAAAAACATGTACAAAACATAAAGCATATCGCACAATACCAACTAACAAAATTGATGGCTTGAGAACAAATATAATGGCATCGGTAATTTTGTATTTACATGTTCAATTATTCTTTGTTTCAGATCTTCTGCTGCTTTTTCACCCAAAGATTCCCCAGAGGCCTTCTCATTCTCAAAATCATTCTTATATGTATCCCATAAAGTTGTCCATTGGATAACCTCCATGGTAACCAGCTGTTTCAAAAGTAACCTAAGCGCAAAATATAACATCAACAGGCACACCAAATGGCAAGGAAATCTTATACAAAAAATAAAAGAACACGACTTGGAAGAAATAGGATAAAAAATACGATAACATACTTGAAGTTTGGAATCTCAGATAGATTCTTATCCTCCAAAGTGGAATTTAGAAGGCTTGACTGCATTGGATCATGTGGGGCTAGAACCAAGTACCAACATATTTTCCTTAGGATCTAAATGTACAAAATAATATTGATAAACTTAATATCACAACATACCTCACAGTAAACGAAAAGGTAAAAAAAGAAAACGAGGATAAAGCTTACTGGAGTCCACTTGGCAGGGTTTTCTTTGACAGATGGAATCTCATATATTGACTTGTAGCAACGGCAAATTTCAAGATAATCATTATTATGGGAATAATACCTTTAAACATAAACAAAACAGCACAAGACAACTCAGATTTTATGTTCATCAGCAAGCAGCAGCATAAAAGTAAGTAGTTAAAAAGTATGTAATGAGCAGTTGTCTACATCATTTCACGTTACTTAAGTCTGAAAGTTAAATAGAAGCATTGCACCAAATTTGAAAGCAGTTGTAATGGGCTGGTACAATATACTCAATTGTGACAATTTCATACACTTTGCTATTGTAAAATGTTACAAGCCATTCCTCAGATACATTCAAAAATTTAATTTAAAGGAACTGGAATCAAACAACAAAAACACCATGAATGACAATTGGTAAATAAAACACTGAATATTACACATTAAATCCACCAATGGTATCAGAGCTTATCCCAGCCTGAGGTAAAAGATGGTTTCTTAAACCATTGGCAGCAAACAAAAAACATGTTTATATATTAAATACGGATCACTCACAACATCACATACACAATTGTTACTAACCAATATGGAAAATACAAAGTTAGCATAAAAAGGTCATAATTATCAGAGAACTGAACGTAATTGATAGTAGTCAAGATAGGCCTATCATTATCATTCAAAAATCAATTAATTCAGTACAAGATGCACTTCCAAAAGAGGAAAAATATGTTTCTTACAATATTAATAGCAGTTAACATTGGTCACAATTATATTCCTTATGAGAAAAACATATCCTCATTCTTCTATATAGAGCTGAGATGTTTGAGTTTATTGTAAAAAGATGTTTTTCTAATTGAACGATGCTTCAAAAAAATTATAATAATTGTAAAAATCTCATCAATATATCGTTTTAAAATGGATTTAGGTGTGAAAAAGGAATATTTTAAAATCTGATTATACGAATTATCAATTATTCTTACAATAATTTACAGAAACAGGTTCAGTGTTTGGGAATGGTAGGTGATAAGTAATTTTAAGACAATATACTTAATTAGGGTTGCCTAAAATATAACTATTTATAGTAAAATTACAGAAAATGGATATTGAAATATCAAGTTACTTATAGAAGTTGATAAAATGGGAAAACAAAAAAATCCTAGAAAACTATCTAAAAGCTTCTAATAACCTGCAAATTATACTCATGACAAAGAAGATTTTTTTCCACTTCAATTATTTTCACCGGACATGCAGGAGTTTAAATCAAGGACTTTCTACCTAAAAAAGCTCCAAGACCAGTCAAATACCATCATATCTAAATATGAGAATAAGTTAAAAGATGAATTGAGTCAGAAAACAGTTATGCCAAATAGTGGCATAGTGTAGCTGGACCAAGATTCACCATGGTGGCAACAGGTAATAGAGATACACTATTTTGAGATTATGATACACATTAAATAATTTATACTGTACATGAATTTTCAATAAATAAATCCAAAATTAAAGACACTCATAATTAATGGTTAGAAGTTATAAATTTAAAGCTAAACACAAACATGGCAATATAATCAAAAGTCCTACAGTTGCATTGGAGGGAGAACAGAAGGGCATAAGAAGTGCCCTCATGCAGCAATTATGATGGAAAAATGTGGTTTACCAGAAACAAGACAAGCTAATAAGAATTAGAGTTTCATGTTCACCAGAACTTGTCATATGGTTATTTTTGTTTGTTCTCATTACAGAAACAGATACAGGTGCTTAACCCTATACTCTTTCCATTTCCACTTCGAAATTTAGTAACAAGGGTGATTTAATCCTTCAACAAATTATTTTCCTTTCCAGACCATCAAACAGAATAATATATAAACACTTAGCAATGTAAAGAAAGCCATGTGTTTCCAATCTGCATGTTAACTTTTAATAGAATTGAAACAAATCACAAGAAAGAATGGCCAACAAAATTTAATTCCATAGATATAGTTAAAAAGGACAACACAGAAAGCATTAGATGCACTTATAAACGAAAGTGTATTTAAGGAAACCAGAACAAAAGGAAGCAAGAGATCTTAAGAGTGTGAACACATATCGCAGGAAGATAGTTATTGGCACTATACTATGCCTTATTCTTGGGGATCTAGAATGCACATATTGGACTGACTAGCAGCAACCGTCATAGAAGCTCAATAACCAGTGTAATTTTAACCTTTTACTTGATGATGACTTATCTCAAATAATAAGGAAACAGATACAAATATAAGGGGAAGACACAATATTTAAACTACATCATGATAGAACAACAAAAGGAGAGCAACATGAAGTATATATTCAATTACCGAATCATTAGCTCATAATAGATCTGCTTCAACTCCAGCAAAGATGGTGTATCTGCAGGGGCCTCTTCAACAATGTTATCACCTTCTTTAGGCTTTTTCTTTTCCTTAGTTGTATCCGCGTCAAATACTCTTGGACTAATCTTTCTAGAAAGTATTTGTGCCCGCACATAATCCTCGCGGTCTAGACACAAACGAACCTACAAAATTTGACATAAAAGATTCTGAAGTCAGCAACTAGATTGAAACACAAAATTAATGGTCTGCTATTGCTGTAATCATAGAAAAATGTCCCATACTTGTTCGAGAATGAATGCAATTTTCTCAGTCTTGGCCATGGCACCAAAAGTTTCAACCTGGTAACATTACCCATTCCATAAGTAAGTTGAAAAGTAATTAGTTACATTGGAAAATAAAAAATAAGAAAATGACACAACTCCACTGACCGCAATTTCTTGCATCAAATCAGCAGCTTCAGCAATAAGCCCTTGGTCTTCCTTGATCTTTGCAAGTTTCTTGATCAATCGAGCTCTCTCAATTTCCACGTATATCTAATAAGCAAGACAACATTTAAAAAGACATAATAGTATAACAAAAAATATTTAACGAAACAAAAGGTTCAAAATTAGCACACTCACTTTCCCTGCAGAGACACTGTTCAAAGTTTTGATGAGTTCTATGCGAGTTTCAATATCTGGTGTCTCGTCAATATATTGCATAGCCTGCTGCACCATAGCTGTAACAGCCTGCAAACAAATAAGCATCTCATTAATGACAGACAGCTCCATACTTCATGTACCATTCAAGGTTTCAAAAAAAAAAAAAAGCCACTACATCACGATTATGGGGCCCTCAGTGACCTCATTGTGACCAATTATGGTTTCATCTGTATGCAATTTTCAACAATGTCAATGATCACGACGAATCTAGGACCGCAAATTAACACCTAGATACCATTTAAAGAAGCAAATAGAAAACACATTTGTAATGAACAAACAACTAGCAATATTTCAGACAGAGCGAAGTAAAACCCTAAACCTCCTCACAAACCACGCCACTGCGATTCACGTAATATAAGAGGTTTTTCCGCACATGAGGAAACAAATTAATAAACGAAGCTCAGCGGCAGCAAGAACCTGTTTAAGCTGGCCACGTCGTTTGGACAAAACCACAATCTGGTCATTGAGGGTTTTCCAGGCTCGCGCTTCAAAGCAGAGCTGCAGAATATCGGTGACCGCCTTTCGTGTTCCTGCCACCTCACCGGCGAGTCTCATCTGCTTTTCCACGTTCAGCAATTGCTCTATTGCCGCGTCTAAATTCGCCTACAGAAAATTTGCAGAGGAACGGTCAGCCACAACAAAAATAGAATTTCGGTTCAGACAAGAAAAATTAGTAAGAATATTGGCACAGAGCCGCTGAGGGAAAAAAGCAAGTGCTAGCAAAATCAACGGTGGAAGTGTTGGAATAAGAGTAGAAGCCGCATGCGACAAAAAAGAAAAGAGAGAGATCTGGAATGGCTTCGATCCATGAACGAATTGAGTGAAAGGGGAAAGAGCGTGATGGAGAAGAAAGTGTACCATGGTTGGATTGTGGGCGAAAGAGATCTCCGAAAGAGTCGTCAATTATTGAGAAAATTGAAAATAGAAGGAAAAGTGGAAGAGGGGAGGAAAGAAGGGCGATGATTTTCATGGATGATGTTTTTATACAATTGTTCAGGCCCACCCAGGCCCAACAGCTCTTACTACACTGGCCCAATCCGCTTCAGTTTGTTTCCTCTTGACAAAGATATTTTTTGTAAATAATAAACTTGGGTTACTTTTACGTTAGGTGAAACAACCATTTTAGGTTAAAAATAACAACCATTTGATAAATAATATTGGTTTATTCGAGTAGTTAAATAAGGTTAATGTTTGATGTTTGGTTTAGTTTTTGAAAATATGAATTTGAAGAAAAAAAAAGTTTAAATGATCTTTGAGAAATAATATTTTCACGTGGAAGTTTAAAAGCAAGCTGAGATGAAATTGTTCACTCTTTACCTTGGAGACATCATATGAATTTGGAAGACCAAACACACCTCGGACACAAGCAGTATCTTCATTTCCCTTCACTCTACCCTGTTTCTCCAACGGTTTGGTGCTGAAGCGATCGGTGGCCACGCATAAACCCAAACGAACCCTCGAACATGAAAAAATGAGGTTTAACGAGAGCCCTATGAATTGGATTGGCGTAATGGTTGGTGGCCTTGTGGGCATAGTGGGTGCGATATTGACACTAAAAGATGGCAAAGTGGCGATTCCATTAACCTTCGCTACTCATAATAGTAACTCTGACAAATCTCTCTTTGTTCCCGGTTTGAAAAACCTCCAAAACAACTGTTTTCTCAACGTCGTTTTGCAGGTAAACTTTTGCTGCTCTTTCTTCAATCCCCAAATGATTTTTTTATGCTCGTATGGTGCAAAAAATATATTATTATTATTATTATTATGGTTATTTCGTTGTTGCAGGCTCTAGCCAGCTGTTTTTGCTTTCGGAGCTTTCTTCACGGCGTGATGAGCGAATGTGGGAACAAGAACCTTGATGAAAACATGCCTCTTTCACTTTCTTTGGCTACTTTATTAGAAGGTAGAAGAAATTTGACTCTTGTTGAATAACATTCGATATAAATAAACTAATTTGTAGAAGATTTCTTGTATTAGTTTCTCTAAAGATTGATTTTTGTGATAGTGTATTGTTTTGTAAATTTGTTTGAAATTTTTTATGGAATGTTATGTATGTGCAGAGCTGAGTTCAATTAGTGGGGAAAAGGTTACATTGAGTCCACGAAAGACTATGCTCGCCATGTCGAATTACATTCCAAACTTTAATCTGACTAGCCAGCAGGTAGAATTGTGTGTTTCAATGATTGATTTATAGTGTGTTTGAACTGCATCGTCTCAGCTATTACTTATGTCCAATTTTAATTTTCAAGGCGGAAGCTACTCTCAGTAGCTTCCGATTTCCATGTTTAAATGCAAGTTTTGAGCTTTGGATGCGGAACGAAGCACATGGTTAGTGGCTTAGTGGTGTTTTAATTCTGTCTCAACCGTGTTTGGTTTTCGTTCTTGTAGGATGCTGCTGAAGCATTTCTCCATCTGTTATGTTCTTTGAGAGAAGAATTTGGAGGTTGTTATGCTCCAAAGATGAGTTCTTTAGCAGACATTTTTGCTTCTAACAATAGAATTCTTACTCCAATACAGAGGGACTGCCCAAGTGAGCAAGAAAGATGGCAACAACTCTTCCTTGGACCTTTTGATGGAATTCTTGCAAGCAGCTTAACCTGTCAAAGTTGTACATCCCAGGTACAAGGGACTTTTCTCAATGCAGTACTCTAAACGTTTTTCTCATTAGTTTTACTTACATTTCATGGTCTTTGTTTGTAATTGTAATGTTAGACTGTCTTCTATTTGTCCTTAGAACTCGACGACAACCAACTCTGATACTATTTGATAAGTACCAAGCACTAGGAGAACTCACCCTGAAGAGCTAGCTGGGATTTAGAGTCTACTAATGACTTGTTTTTACCTGCAAGTCATGGAAATGACTAATGCCAACTAACTTAATTCCTCCAAACTTGCAATAAAGTTACTTATGACTTGATAGTGTACTTATTGGCTGCATATTTAACTAATGACTAGAATTTAGCTTTACATAAATATTTAGTTTTGTTTTTAAAATAACTTCCCAGTTTCCTATTTCATTATTCTCAATGTGATTTTTATAATATCTCTTTGTGACATTCTTCTTTTAACTTTATATTTATTCAGTGCAGATCTCAATTAACTTGGAACATTTTGATTGTTTGCCTCTTTCACCTGTGCTTAGTGATACTTCCACCATAGTAAGTCTTGAAACTAATGTAATTCATATTGTAGCTTCTATGTTATTTCTTTTATAATTGAAGTGCCGCATGCCTCCTTTAGCTCCCTGATTATTGAATGTGACATTGTACAGAGAGTTAGTTGTACACTAGTGGATTGCCTGAAGCAGTTCATTGTTGCCGAACATGTCGAAAATTATCGGTGCAGCTACTGTTGGCATAATGCCGCAATCAAGTATCTTTCTGTAATGGAAGAAAATGAGGTCCACCCTGTGTGAATATTTTATTCATTTAGAGATTGATAAAGTCAGCTTAGGGATGCATAGTTGGTGGTTGCCGAATCCAGCAACTAATCTTTATGTTGTCCAACATGATTTCTGTGCCATTGTTACTCAGGTAGAGCTCAAAAAGCTAAGGAGATGCTCTGATCCAGAAATATGTGATTGCCGGAAAATGTATAATCTTGATAAACTACCATGGTCAAACAGGTTTTCACATACTCTGAAGCAGCTAAGTATTGCTAGGTGTCCAAGGGTATGCATACTATGTTTTCTGATACGGCATTTCGAACTTTCTCGATAATCTTTTTCTTTTGTAGTTCAATGTCTGAACTTCTGAAACATGATTGCCTGGTTGCAGATTTTATGCATCCAGTTGAAAAGAGTTTCTATGAATGTCTTTGGAGAGCTAGTCAAACTACAGGTACTTGAATCTCTGACATATTGGATTTATCTCAGTATTTGTCCTCCTTCCAAAAGGAAAAGAAAAGTTCCCTGGACCATATACTAATTTGATTGTGCTTCTATTTATGACGTAAACTTGACTGTTTTTCTATATAATAGATTCAATGAACTGAAAAAAGATGGTAATAACTGAGTAGCATATGAATATTCATTGGGTTTCATGGTAGAGTTTTTTGCCATGAAATGGTAATGCAGGGCCATATTTCTTTTCCATTGATTTTGGATGTGTTGCCATTCATGACAACTTGGCCAGGAGTAAAGACACAGGACATAGATGTACAAAGTTTGTCATTAAATTTGAAGTACAACAGAAGAAATTTTTTGCCAAATCATTCTGATATGCAATCTGAGATAAGAACATTGAAATTCAGTGGCCTTAACGGAGCAAGGAAGGAGCAGATAAATTCAGATGGTCTTGTTGATGACAGATTTGTCTCCTCTACAAATGGACTGGAACTTCATAATGACACTGTATTTCCCTGCTCTGACTCTTCAGAAACCACTCACTCAGATGCACATATGCAATCAAATGTTAAGGTTGGTTTAATTTTTTTGATATTGATGCATTTAATTTATTCTGAACTTAGAAATCCCATATCCTTGCATCTTGTTTGCCCTCTTTAAAGAAGCTTCATTTATCTATCCATCTGTCAATCTTATTTGTCAAGTATAAACTATAAATTTATTTCCTCTATGTAATTTCTTTTAAGTCAAGCATCCAAAACAACAATTTTCACCGCAAGCTATTTTTTTTAGATTGTTCTAAAATCAAACTCAAAAGCATTCTGCTAATTAATTAGGAATAATACTTCTAATATTGATGCATTTTTTTTAGATTGGATAACTGTTTTTTTTTTTTTTCATTTAAATGAAATTAATTATCTTCAAACCACTTTTCAAGAACCTTAAACAAAAACTAGTTCTCATTATATTCAATTATGCATATAATGAATTATTAAAATAATATAATTTTCACATTTGTCCCAAACACAAGACGCTTTTCGTCACTATGTTGTGCTTTATGTAGGTAAATGTTTCTTGTGACTTAGTTTCTCAAGAAACATATTTGTATCAACTAGTTTCTGTGGTGGAACACTTTGGTAAAGCTGGAAGTGGGCATTACACTGTTTACAGAAGTGCAAGAGTGGAGTCCTCAGATATCTCTGATGAGCAAACTCCAGTGCATTGGTTTTGTATTTCAGATTCTCAAGTGCATACGGTTTCAGTGGAAGATGTTCTTTCCAGTGAGGCCAGCTTGCTCTTCTACGAGAGAATTTCAAGGAACTGAAAGAAAAATAATTTCTTTTGTTTTGGGAAGTTCTGAATGACATTTATTTGACCAACAAAATTTATTTAACTCACCACAAATGGTACAAGAACGTGTTGAGGTTGTTCCAAATTGCTTGACAAACTTTTGAGGTTAATGGTAACCTCAGCTAATTTTGTTCCCTTATTGTGGTTACCACCATCAAAAGCTTTTTAAGGTGTCCAAAAACACACTGATTATCGTAAGAGCTACAGTTGCAGGCTGCAGCAGAAAGCACTAACATTGGAGCCATTAGTTGAAAATATCATTTTCAGTATTGAGTTTATAGATGAGAATTCGATGTTCTTACTGTTCAAAGGTCATTTCAATGAAAAACAATCTCTATGGCCAATTGCTACATAACTGCAGGGCCATTTCAACACAGGATAATTTCGTTTCAATTTTTATTTATTTTTATCTCGATTGATTGATTGATACAGTGGTTAGGTTTTTTGTGCTTACATACATGTTTTATGATAATTTATATAGGAAGAGATTCATGTTTGAAATTTTATTTGACCAACAAAAGTTATAATACAGTACTCAAAATATGGTCATAAAAGGAGTTATGGATAAAACAAAGTTGATGAAAGAAAGTCATAATTTAGCTTAAGTGTGTTAGTCTAATTGTAACCTAATGGTAGAAAAAAACACTAATGTTAAAATAAAAACTTTAATCTTGATGTTTTAAATGCATTTTAGTGTTGACTTAATTAGTTTAAAAGAAAAATTTAAATATAAAATTATTATGTATTACCATCTAATTATAAATTATTATAATATATAGAGTTATATAAAAATATTCAACCTTTGTCACCTGTTACTTTTTTATGAATTATGAAACCTTTTTAATTATCTTTTTTTTTCTTACCTCACTCCCTAATTGTTTTAAAAATTGTACTAAAATTATTTTTAATGAATTGCTAATTTTAAAATGTATTTAAACTCAAAATTAAAATATGCAAATATAGAAACTGATTTTTCAAATGTTATCTATAACAATAACAGCTATTATGTAATTATATTAATCTTTATATTATTTAAATATTTAAAATGTTCAGATATCTACATTTAATACAATACTCAAATTTTAATTAATTTACATTGTTTGTAGTTATTATTATATTTTTTTATAATATAAAAGTAGGAGATATTCTAAGTTTTTTTTTCCTCTACAATTCTTTGTATAAATTTATTATACTGAAATTTTATGTATTTTTTGCTTTCGTTACATTTTCTTTTGAGCAGTGATATATTTGATAATTTTTTTAACATATATCAAATTAAAAGTTATTTTTAATAATTTAATAATAATAATAATAATTTATAAAATAATGATTAAAATAAATTATTATATTATTAAAAAATTATCAGATAAATGTTTAATAAAAAAATTAAAATATTTTTTCTTTATTTTATTTTGTTATTCTTATCTTGTTCAACTTTTGGTGGTGTGATATGGAATCAATTTATTGAATACACAAAAGTTAACAAATTTTCTAAAAATATTACTACAAAATATATTTACCTGTAACTTGTATTTAAAACCAATATTCAATTTTCTTACTAATTCCTTTTAAATATATTTAAGGAGAATAAGTAATAAAATTATAATACAAATGAAAAGATGGTATGAAATATAATTTAAAATTAGTCAATAATTATAAATTTAATTACTACATGCGTGTAATAATTGATAATTGCTATATTCAATTTCTGAATAATTTATTTAAATGGATCTATAAATAAAGTAATTTTCTTATAACTGTACTTTTTGTATATTATATGTTTCAATAATTTATCCTCATTTCCCATATAATTGTAGGATATTTAAAACATCATCCAGAAAACTTACAACATAACTCTCCTTAATCACAAGCCCTGACATTTTTTTCATAACCTAATTTTGATATTAATTATAATTTTTTTTCCTACATCACCTTGTCAGTTCCTTCACATATACTTCCACCAACCATATACATTGTTTTTGGACTTTAGATATCAAATATTTTATCTATTTTCATTTTTCGCTACTACACATACTATTTATAAGAGCCCTTAATATTTTATTACTTAGTATAGTTTATTACTAATATTTCTTAATTATTCTTTATAATTAACTTATCAAATATTTTGGTTATGTTGTAAAAGCTCACAGAGATACGAACAAATTTTATTTTTGAGACATGTATAATCGATTGTCTTTAAGGGTTTATTTGCGATGTATTGCGCAAGTCTCCCAAGATATAACGTAAATTTTTCGAAAAATCCGAAGATTTCAGAAACTACCAAGAAACTCTCAAAAGAGTAAGTTAACTCAGGATAGCAGAAAGAATATCAGAGAAGAGAAGATGAGATACGTGTGTTTTTAAAGAGTGTGAAATTGTCTCTATTTATAGGAGAAAGTTTGTAGCATTTATGGGAAGACTTGGTAGTGAGTCTGTAACGTTATCTTCTGCAACGTTCTCTGAAACAGTATTCTGCAATATGTGAGAACACGTTCTTTGAAACGAGCTTATGTAACGTTCTCTGAAACAGTCTTCTACAAGGTGTGAGAACATGTTATCTGAAACAGTTTTCTGCAACGTGTGAGAACACGTTCTCTAAAACCGTCTCTACAACTTATAGGAACACGTTCTAAGTTTTACAATACCCTTAATTTACACCAAGTTATTCATAACACATCACACACATTGGATTAAAAGTTACAATTTCAACAATATTTAGATGTTCTATAAAGCCAGTGCTCCTTAAAAATATTGACTAGGTTTCAAAGGGAATATTTATATTTTTTTAAATTGACTTTAACTATATATATATATATATATATATATATATATATATATATATATATATATTCACAAACTATAATAATAAATGGACATTATTCAAATGTTTGGTTAAATAATCATTCTTCTTGTATATCAATACTTTAATTATTTTTGGTAAAATGTTAGTTTCAAAAAAAAAAGATATCAAAAACTTTATTTGGTCTTAATAATATAATCTTATCTAATAATAGAGATTAATTATTACACGAGTACAGATACTAAATAATGAAAGACATTAATGATGTTCACTTATCAAGCTAATTAATACAACCGTACACATAAAAACTAGTCATCAACAAATTGATAATTATATACTTAATATAATTTTTATAACCATATCATTGATATGAAAGGAAAAACTAAATTTAGAGAAACCAACTATATTTCTACTTGATCTAACCAATAGGTTTTTGAGGATAATATAAATAGAACGTAATCTTGATTTAGTGTAGGGTTCTTGATTAACAAACGTATAAAACGTTGAATCACATTATTGATAGGTATAGGAACCATTGAATTGGCTTGGCATTGAAGAAGATGCGAAGGTGGGTTTTTTGTTTGCTTTGTTTGGATTATTCTTCTAGGGTTAGGGTTAGGGTTAGGATTAGATTGCATGTGTAGGAGATTTGATTAGTTAATCATGGAGGATGGAAGCATTTAATGAAGAGGGGGAGAATAGCCGACATAGGTTGACACTTGGATCATTTTGAGATAAGACAATGGACAATGTTTTTCATGTTTGGAGAGGATTAGGACACTAGACAATGTTTGTATGGATCACATGGGAAGAGTCCATTGGTTATGAACTAGGTAGGCCTCTTTTGTGCCCTATACATTGGTCATCTTCCAACCTCATTTGGGGCTATTAAAGGCTATCATAGACACACTCTTCAATTGATAGAGAGACTGAAAATATAACCAAAAACATCCAATTAGACTAAGGCATAGAAGATAACTACATTTCATAGCATAATTTTATGTCTATATAGCTAGCACTATATATGGTAGGGTCAAAATTATTATTAGAGTTCGTATATTAAATAAAATTTGAAGAGGTTTTCTCTATTGGGATTACCATTTTTTTAAATTGGGATAAATATGTTTAAATGATCTTGTTCATAAATACTTTTAGAATATTAAAATAAAATAAAAGTGAAATAATTTTTTGTTAGAAATTTTATTACTACTAAATATACATGATCAAATTTTGTTGGATTTATTGTATTATCTGAATTTCTTATCAAATTATTTATCGATAATTAATTACATATATTTGATATATTTTATTTTTAATATAAAATATGTATTATATATATATATATATATATATGAATTAAATTATACTATAGAAGTGAGTGTAAATCTAATATTATAAATTAGTTTTGTAAAATCGTGGTAGATTTTTATTTTTTTTAAATATTTTCTTTATAAATTAAAACTAGTTTATATAAATTACAAAATCTCATTTTAAAAAGCATAATATAAAATGATTTTGAAAAATTAATCCGAGAAAAATGCTTATCTTTTTTTTTTTTAATTTAAAGTTATCTATTTGGAAGAAGTGAGAATACAATTCATACATGTATATCTCATACACGTATAATAATAAATAGTTTTCCTAAAATAAAATAAAACATGGCCGTTATATGTGAAATTATTATGTGATTCATTAAAATAAAAATGATTTAAATATGATTTTAGTTTTTAATTATTTTTTTGTCAAATTTAAAAGTATTTTTATCCGCCTTTAGAAACAACTTATGTTTTATCTTTCAAGTTAACTTTTTGTGACTAATTTATTATTCTTTTTAAGAATTAGAGGTATTAATTGGATTGAAAATAATTAATTTCAACGTTAGGGAATCAAAATAAAATTAAATATAAATTTTAGAAGAGAGAAAATATATGTAAGTAGTGAGTATTATATATATATATATATATATATATATATATATATATATATATATATATATATATATATATATATTCAGTACTACTATTATTATTATTATAATGTATTACAATATAAATCTAGTACAATAATAATCATGTTAATATACTATTATTATTATTATTATTATTATTAACTTAGTTAAAAAATTATCAATAATCGCTGATTCAATGAATTTAAGCTCATGTTATTTTTAAGTTAAATTTTGAGTTATAGTTTTTTTCTTTTTTTAAAAGAAAGCATAATTGAAAGGAAATTTTCTACATTATTAGTCAAGTATTTTTGAAAAAAAGGTATTCTAAGGAAAAACAATAAAATATTTTAGATGAATAATATTACTATAGCAAAAAAATTAGATGGAGCCAATACTAATTTTTGTAATTAAATGAACATTTTACAAATTTGGACCTAACTAATTGATGCGAAGTTAACTTGTAAACCTTTTATCAGCAACCTAACTTATTTTTACACATAGACATGACATAATTATGACTCAATTAGTTCAAGACAATATATATATTTCCTAAGTGAAATAAACTTTATATATTATTAAACATTTTTTGCTACCTTTTAGAATATTTGAATGAAAGTTTTTTAAGTTTTAAATTTCTTAATTAAAGAAGATTTCTTTGGTAAATAATTTTCTTCAATTTTAACAAAAAGTTGATATTAAAATAATATTTATGCTAATAATTTTTTTAAAATTCCATTAAAAATACCGTTAAGATTATATTCTGGGATTCCATCTCTTGAAAGATATACTACAACTACCTATTATTTTCAAAGTATAACTTCTTCAGATCCTAATCATTTCATCTCTTATTATATACTTTATCTAGTTGATATAATTATTCAATTTTTAAAAATTTAAAAATGATATAACTATTTGAAAGACAAAGAAAACACAAGAGAATGGTTATATTACTTTGAAAATCTTAAAAAAAAAAAAAATCTCAAACACGTTATAATTGAAGAAGGCTTAAAAATAGTGGTTGGTTTGTTGGACAATTTTTAAAATTTTAATGAAATTTTTTAAAAGGTAAAACTGGAAATAATTTTCTCATAAAAAGCACAGATTCCTTTCATAGTCAGTGTAATAAATGGGAAACTCAATGTTTTACAAAAAAATAGGTAAAATAGCAGAAAGTTACGCAGAATAACTTATGACCATGTCAATATTGCCATACAGTATGAATTTGGTGTGGGTCAAAACTTTGAAAACTCTTCTCAGTATGCTTCCTCATATTCTTTAGCTTCAAACCAGTTACTCATCATGAGTTCTGAATATATATGATTTGGCAACCTATAGATTGCTTTAATTTTCTCAACACAAGTCCATAATTTAAGTGTGGATTTCCTAGCTTCAAAGTGCAAACACTATCTATACATTGAAGGTCCTATAAGATAGGACTGCAGAGTAATTAACTAAGCACTGCGATTTTGGTGAAAAAAATGAAGAAAAAAAATTAGGAACTTCAATTATGGATTGGTGGATTCCTTTTTGCAGGTGTGTAATCCATTGTATCCAACTCATTATTGCTTTCTTGTGCACCTTCATGTTGTGGCTTAAACAAACCAGTTTGACTCTTCTTGACTGCATCATCCTTAATCTCTCTCAAACTTCTGGCTGCAAGAAATTAACCAAAACTAGTTTGAATATCATGTACATGTCACTAATCCTGATTTTGGTGACAGTTTGAACAAAGTAAAAAATTGCAAACTTACCTCTTGCTGTCATGGTGATGAAACAAAGCAAAAGAAAAGCAACAAGAAGTATGTGCTTGAAATTTGGTGAGGTAGCCATTAACTTCAATTACTCAACTTAGGAGTGTGTTTGGTATATGAAAGTGTGTATAATAATAATAATAATAATACCTTTGCACTTGCTCAAGACATGGCCTAGTTGCCCTCTTTTTATAGGAGTGGAAATAAGTAGTTACCCTTAAGAGGGTACAACCATTAACGACAAGGAAAAATATTGTTGCGATTTAGGTTCTAATCTATGTCTCCTGCTTTGTCTTCCTTGAAAGTGACAACACTTTGCATGGAAAACAGGATCTAAGTTAAGAGCAAAACTGGTTCTGTTCCTTGAAACTACTTGGTTGGCATTTTGTGTCCCTCTGGCACTGTGAAATTAACCAAAGATGCATGATCTACACCGAAAAAATAACCCTTTCATAGAAAACCAAAGGTTCAGAAAAGACAAAGAAACGCTTAGGGACCCCCTTTTTCCTTTTTGGAAAACACTATGTGACCAAGATTTAAGGGTATTGTATGGTGATGAAACAAGGACTGAAGCAAACATTTTGCCTTGGCCCCTATCCAAACTCACTAGTTAAAGAGTGAAATTCAATATTCCTTACACTTATATAATCTGACAGACATGGATGCTAACACATGCAATTCATGAAACATCTCTTTCTTTCATTTAATATATCTAAAGTGACACCTTACATATTTCTATTAAAAAAAAAAGATTTTCTACTAAATAAATAGGTAAATAAATAACCTTTACCATATGTAAACTGGGACGTCAACCCATCAAATTTCTCATGATATATTTTATTCATAACTTTTTTCCTATATATTTTATTCATAAGATAACATTAGAATAATATTTTCCTATATAATTTCTCATATATATAAGATGTGCAATATAACTATTTTAATCACCAATATTAAATCTATCAGTGTAGAGAAGATATTTTTTAACTTAGAAGGAATTGAGATTTTAAATGATTTATTTGGATGATAAATTATATTTATTAAATATTTTTTTATATAAAGTATTTTAATTATTTTTAAATACAAAAGTTCTCGTCATTTAATTTATGAATTAGTTCAATTCATAATACTTGGTTCTTATCTATATGGGTTAGGTTGAACTAAAATGCATTATAAAGATTATATGAAGTTAAGTTAGATCGAAACATACTAAATTGGTAAGGTTGAGTTTGATAAAGATAATGATTGAAAAGGTTCGGTTAAGTCGACTTGTGGATGAGTTAAGTGGTATTAGTTTATGTTGGGAGGGATAATTAAGAATGAATCAGACCATGTTGAGTTAAGATAGATCAATATGAGTCGAATCATGTGTACTTTGGGTAATTGAGTCTCATAGTATTAGATAAGATGAATTAGACTATATCAAAATGGATCGAGGTCAGACTTAGTTAATACTAGCTTCAATCGAAATGATTTAAAATAAGTTACAATAGATTAAGTTAATATACTTATTTGGATAAAACAGTCTTGAAATGAATTGAGTGATGTATGTTAAGTAGAAAATTGTGAGATAATATATATATATATATATATATATATATATATATATAAATAAATTTAAAAGAGAAAAAAGTAAAAATTTTTAAATTTTAGATAACAAATTTTATTTTATTTTAAGTAATAAAATACTTTTGGAATTTCAAGAATTTTAATTAATTTTTAAATTATTTTTTATTAAATATTTCAAATTTTTATTAAAATAAATTATTCTTTATAAATTTTTCATGAGAATATAATTAATTTTTTATTATGGTATTAGTTAAATGATTTAAACTTCACATATATCAATAATTAGTGTAGGATTATTTTTTTAGTTTTTTTATCAACAACAATAAAATTATATTTTTATCAAGTTAACTTATTTTAGTTGAGGTTGATAAATATTATTTTTTTATTGACATTATTATGATTATTTTTTGGTTAAAATAAGTTAAAGTTATTTTAATCAATATTAAACAATACTTTAATGATATTAATACAAGACAATTTTTAATTGATATTAATTTATTTATTTTTCAGTCGAAACAAGTCAAAAATTACTTTTTAATAATCATTAATTATAATTTTCTTAATAAATATCAATAGGTTATTTTATGATGAATGTCAACTAATTTTTTTTCAATTGATGTCTTTTATAATTATTTTTTATCAATATCAATAGGATTATATATTGATTGATATCACCAATATAATTATTAATCAAAATTATTTTCTAATGTCAAATGTAAAATTTTTCGTGAAGTTTAAGTAAAATTGTTTTGTCCAATATTAATTAAATAAATTTAGTGGACAAGAAAAATATAACTAATAACACTAAAAATAATAATCATATTCATATTAGTCTTTATAATCGACGTCAACTAAAATAATCCTAATTGATATAAATAAAATAAAAAATCTTATATATGGTCATCTAAACAAATCTAAATTGATACACTCTTTTAAATAAAAATCACTAAATTTAAATTATTTAATCTAAATAAAAAATATTTAAAATAAATATAATTCATTTTTTGTAAATATAAATTTCTTGAAAATTATTACTTTTCAAATCAAATTAAAATATAAATTAATTTCCTATAATAAAAAAATATTCAAAATTAGTTTCAATAAAAATATATAAATTTATAACATTAAATACAAAAAGAATACAAGTGAAATGTGTAATCTCATAACTTTTTATTTACTCTCAAAATTTACTTTAGATCCTCGACAAAAAAAAAAAAGAATAATAAAAATTGAAGTCAAATAATTTTTTTAAAGCTATTGAAGTTAAATTATAAAAAGTTTATACCATATAAATGGACAATAAAGTAACCATAGTAACTTTAAAAACATCAAATAATAACTACACTTTCATTGATGCATTTAACATTTACATTTGAAAAAATACATGAAAAACAAGCATTTAGTGTAATTTTTCATTCTTGTATTAACTTTTTTTCTGGACAAATCACTTTCTTTCTTATCATTTCTCTTAATTAATCATGTCTACTTCTAATTAAGTTAAACAAGATGCATTCATGAAAAGAAAATAGATGTGACCCACGTTGATGGGGCTCCAATCATTTTTAGATAAGCCATTGAACACTGTTGTCTGATGAAAAATCACCCCCGTCAATCTAACTGTGGGGCTTCACTGTCCCTTTATTTCCCGTACATAAATTAAAATTTTCCCTAATTTTTTGCTTAAGAAAAATAATGCCCATGGAGAAGAAATATAAGTAAGGAATAAAAAATAAGTGATTATGTAAATATTATTGATTTTATTTTTACAGGAAGAAATAAATTTTGCACGTGTAAAAAGCATCACGTTAGAGTTTAATTAATTAATATAACACTTTATTATTTTTGATCAAATAATTTTAAAAAATATTTATTCTTATTTATAAGATTTTTTTATAATTGAATGATGATTAATAATTGAGTTCAATGGAAAAGTGTGTAGATGGATGATTATCATCCCAAAGTTAGGGATCTTGAGTGATGAATGAGAATGCATGCATATGTCTATGTGTTGCACACCCATCCAGGTACAAACTCACGTGTTATGCTCCTCCTCCACTCATCATCTACGCCACCTCATCGTCATTATACATCATCTTAACATTTCATGCACTTTAAAAACCCAAACCACATACCGAATTCACATCATCATAAATATGTTCACTATTTTTTTTAAATACCCGTGTAATTATTGATAGTATTTATATGCTTGCACGAGGAGTTTTTAAAATTTTAAATACTTGAATATTTTTACGGCCTTTATTATTTTAAAAGTTATGGAGGCTTTTAAAAAAAATATATTAATGTTATTATTTGTGAAAATTCTCATGATATTTTTTCAAGGAAGTAAGATAATTTTTCAAGGAAATAAGATACTTAAATATTTATCCGTTAAAATTACGTATTATTTTTCAATTTGAACTTTTGATTGTTATAGAAATACTATAATTTATGATTTTAATGTAATTTCACTCTCTTAAATAGAAGTGATATAATTTATGATTTTAACGTAATTTCACTCTTTGAAGTATATATTTTTTATTTCGTAACAATTAGATGGTTAAAATATTAATTTATTATTTTTTTAAGAAATAAACATGATTTTCTAAAATATAGGTTATTTTTATGTTTAATATGAATTTTGGTATAATCTTCTTAATATATATATATATATATATATATATATATATATATATATATATTATGTTACTTTATTGATACATTTTCACATAATGGACATGGTTATTCATGTGTATGATAAAACATAATTTAGATATTCATATATACTATAATGCATTATATGCCAATTTATATAAAAAACAATAAAGATATTTAAAAAAATTGTGATGATTTACAAATATTTTCGTAATTACAAAAAACATAAAAATTTATATATATACATATAATTAAAAATATATATTAAACCTTATTTTTATTTTTAATTATTATATGTTTCATATATGTATTCTACTTGTTAGTTTAAAATTAATAGTGTCCTAAAAATAGCAAGTGCATTTTTAAAACCGAAAGACATCACATGTCATTCATATAATTATTACGAACAAGAAAAAATTGTCCATTTTATAGAGTCAGGATCCATTTTAACTTGGTAGAAACCATTCTTTAAGTCAAATTTTGAAAATCATTTTGCATTTTGTATGTTGTTTATCAAAATATCTTTAGATGAAATAATATATTCATCTTCGACTGTGTTATCATTCAGTCTTTTATAATTGTAAATCATCCTTGATTTATCTCTTTTTTGGTCTGAAGCTTTGTTTACTATGAAAAGAGGACTCTTGTGAGGACTATCACTTAGAGTTATTACTTTCAGCTTCGAAATATTATCGATGTGTAATCGACATTCTTCTTGTTCCTAGTTGCTAAACTGGATATCTTTTGTTTTTATAATCAAATCCGGATTTATTATATTCAATTTGCAAATAATAGGATCTCGATCCCAAAATTTTGTGGGGTCTTCTCCTATTATGTTTGTTTTGTTTAACCTATCCAATATCTGTTGGATATTGTCAAACGTAATTGTTTTTTATATCTTTATGGAAGAAAAAGATTTCATAATATCATTTGTGTAGTAATAATCCATATCTTGTTCCATACAATCACATATGTTCGAAGATTTGAGATTATCACAAGAACATCTATCCAAAGGTTGTTCTAAGTGTTTTTTATTGTCACCACTAATTATGGGTGACATATATGTTCTATCACTAATAATAACATAATCTTTGTTAATAGTGATAGTTCGATTATGACCAAGAATAAAATCTAAACCAATAATCATACTTTGTTTGAAGGGGACTAAATTTTCCACTCGCATAGTTTTAATGTGTATTTTCTGACAAAACATGTCACAATTTGTACTGAATTGAAAAGAGATATTATTTATCTCCTCATCATTTATCAGTATTTGTCTAGACATCGTTCTGATTTTTTGTACGTGTTTACTTTTAGTAATCATGTATGGGGGTACTTTTATTCTGCACACAACTATTTCAGAACATCTTGTATCTAAGAGAGCTTGAACTATAGTCTCTTTTGCAGGAATTTTGTCTTTATGAGGAAACTTTAATTTTACTAATACCTTTATGGTTATTAGTTATTTTGTGTTACAAACTAATGAGATACATTCTGTAGTTCCCATCATGTTGTTTTGTGTAAAGGTAGATACTGAACCTCTTTTTCCAGTAGTTTTTCCCTTAACAAGTTTTTCTAAATGAAGAATCTTTTCTTCAAGTATGTTTAATCGGGTTTCTAAGACTGAAGTCCTAGTGTCTTTTCATTTATATTCATTAAACTATTACCTAAATAGTCTAATGTTTCTCCAAAGTTTAGAAGAACTTTAGAATTTTGTAGACTAGGCTCTAAAGAAGGCCTATTGTCTAGTGTGGGATTTTGGTTGTTGCTAAGAACAACATTTTGTAATGATTCTATTGATTTTTTATCAACAGAAATATCTGGTATATTATCATGTTCCATCTGATAGTTGTGTGGTTGGAAATCATTTATTCCTACACCTGTATTTTCTAACCCTATAGTAAGGATTCAGAAACTATGGATACATTATCTAATGTATCACTTTTTGTGTTGTCTATCTTAAACAAGAGTTATAAACCTAAAAATACATTAACCAGTGTATCTGTTGGTTCATCATTTGTGTCAACTAATCCTAATATAGGTAAAGATTATGAAGCTTTAGATAAATTATCCAATATATCATCTTCTTCACTTGCAAATACTTTATTAGGTAAATTAATATAAAACAAAGTTTTAAAATAATAGTAGACCATGATATGATATTGAAAAAAAGTTACTTCAAATAAAAAAAAATTATGAGTTGAGTTGAGGTTGTTTTACCAGGTGCAAAGGATATGATATCCAAGTAACCAAACACGCCCGTGGATACTGATCCCGCGCTTATTCGAAGACGGGAACAACCAAACGCAATAATGGACCCCATCATCCTTTCCGACGAAGAAGACCCAGCAACGCCGTTCCCCCTCCGTTCCAAAAAACGCCGAACCGAACCGGACCCAAACCCCACCGTTTTCGTCATCGAGGATGACCCAACCCCTCACAAATCCGCCACGCCGTCTATCGTTCCTGAGACTCCAATGTCCGCGCTATTCGGTTCCGATATTGCAATCGTCAAATGCACCATGCCTTCCTATCCTTCCGTTAGGGTTTCGCCCAACAAATTCTCCGGTCAATTCACTTTCTCTAACTGCTATTTCAAGATGCACTTTCCGTAATTCGTTTTCATTTTCTTTTCTGCTGTAACTCTAGCAATACTCATTTTCAGTTGTAAAAATAAAGGGCTGCTGTTAACTTTTCTGTCCGTCGAATTAATTTACTACTTAAGTATATTTTGGACTTGCATTGGCAGGGTATTTGTTTTTTCCGTGCTAATTTATTGTAGCTTTGGGATTTCTAGTGGAGTTAAATTTGCTTGCTTTATGATAATTGTATGTGCTCTGTAGTTTGTTTTTTATTGATTGTTTTTCGTGCTTTGAAATGTTCATTGTTCTGTGAGAACGAACATTTTAAGCTGAACAGCTTGCATGATGTTTGTATGTTCTCCAGGGATTAGTCAAATGATATGTTTGGAATCGGATAATGAGTCGGAATATTGTGGAATGGACAAACGGGATGATGAGACTGAACTAAGAGATTCTAGATGGATTTCGAATTCAATGGGGTCTGGAAGTTCTCCTCGTGTAATATTGGAATCAGATAACACGTTAGAAAATTGTGGAATGGACAAACGGGATGAGAATGAGCCAAGAGATTCAAGATGGACTTCAAATTTAGTGGGGTCTGGAAGTTTTCCTCATATATGTTTGGAGTCAGATAACGAGTTAGAAAATTGTGGAACAGGTGAATGGGATGAAAATGAACCAAGAAGGTCAAGATTGACTTCAAATTCATCGGGGTCCGGAAGTTCTCCTCGTATATGTTTGGAATCGGATAGTGAGTTAGAAAATCGTGGAGTGGGCAAGCGACATGAGAATGAAGCAAGAAATTCAAGATGGACTTCAAATGCAATGGGGTCTAGAAGTTCTCCAGGTATATGCTTGTTGGCAAGTTATAATTGTTCTTCACCACCTGAAATGCTTTGTTTATTTGTTTATCTAATTGAAATCTACAGAGAGGCATATTGGGCGTGGAAGTGCTACTCCAACTGAAATGCCTGGGGACAACCTTTCAAATCCAACCTCTTTACAAGTGGTTAGTTTAGTTATTTTCTGATTATTTTCTGTGTTGTGTATACTCACATGTATTTCATAATCTTTATTTATTTATTTATTTTCATCAATAAGATAAAAATTGTTTATTCTAATTGTATTTGCTTCAAATGAAAAATTGTATATTGTTGATTTTCTGTGCTCGCATTTTGCTCCATGTTAGAGAATCTCATGCTATTTAATGAGTTTTATGATCATCGTGTTCAGGAAAATATGGACACAGAGAAGGAGAAGAACACAAAAAATATGAAAAAATCCAAAGTGTCTTCAAAGAACACAACCAAGGCAGTGAAGAAAACAAAAATGACAAAAGAAGAAAGAAGTCGTCTGATGGAGGAAAAGAAACTACAGAAAGAAGTGTGTTTCAGTTTACATCTCTGATAATTTTTTATACATTGTATCATTCAGAATATGATAGCTCATGAAAATTTATTCTTCAGCAAGAGAAGTTACAAAAGGCTGCTCTAAAGGCTGAAGCTGCAGAGCTGAAAAAATTTGAAAAAGAAAAGCAAAAATGGGAAAAGGGGAAGTTTGCAATTAAATCCATTGTCGCAGAAATTGATGCAAAGGTAGTTGAAGCAGGTTCTATTGGAGGTAGGTTATTGTTATCTGAATCCAAAAGTACATGATAACATTTCTATGTAGTTTCTTTATTATTATTTTCTCCTAACTAATATGCATTTTCGTATCTGAATCCGTAACTACAAGACAAATTTAATGCAATTTCTTAGCTGTGATTGTTTACGGATAAAATTACTATTCCCTTGCTTCAGGACATCTGCTTACTAGGTTTGCTGAAAAGGGGCTTACATACCATATTACATCAAATCCAATCTCAGGGTCCATTTTGTGGTCCATGAAAGTTCCAGAACAAATTTCACAGGTAAGAAATGCCCGCAGTATAATTAAGCATTTCTCTGCTCTTAATACGTATCATGTTTTTTTTTTTTTTATCTATTTTATATCCATTTAGTTCTTGCTGTATAAAATATTCATTTCACTATTTTTCCTTGAACTTCTGGATAGATGTTATCATAGTAGTTTATAGTAGATAGTGGCGTGGAGCAGCTGCTTCCAAAAACACTATATAGTGGATAGTGGGATAACCACTTTTTTACCCTAAGTAGATTTTTATTACAAATAATATCTATCTATCTATCTATCTATCTATCTATCTATCTATCTATCTATATATATATATATATATATATATATATATATATATATATATATATATATATATATATATATATACACACTTAAAAATAAAGACAAAACACCTAACTATAAAACATATTTTGATTAAAACTTAAAGCTGCTTACTTAATACAACAAACACCATGCCAATTATAATAAAGGAAATTACATCAAACACGTGAAGGCCTCCAAGGCTTAAAAATCATCATCTTCACCTTCAATGTAAATCTCTTTCTCCTCCTCTTTACTTTCATCTTCTTCTTCTGGGGAGCTGCCCAAATCAAATCACTAAACATCAATACGTCATCTAGGACAGCTTCCTCCTCTCCATTGGCCATTTCTCCTGATAACCATTCAATTTTTTCACCAACATCATTCAAGGCCATGCCATCTGTCACACATCATTGTTATCAATTATTTCCTTTAGTGCTTGCGTGTATTTTATATAAACCAAAGCTTGCAACTTTTGATGCTCATGGTTGCTTCTTTTTTTAGACATCTATTTTATAAAAATTTTGTTAGTTTCACATTCTTACATGAAATTCCTTGAAATGAAGTAATTTGATAATTGAGAGGTAGTTACGTGCTCAAAGTATTCCAAATCCTCACACAAAGTGATGAACTACGTGACAAGACCAGTCACAGTGACACTTGGCAGGGAGCCATTGAAGAATAATGGTGTGTTAATCATTAGGACAGACCATGAGGAGAGAAGAATGGAGACAGAAAAGACAAATACTGTTAACATGGAAGGACAACTGTGGAGGATCCACGAATTATGCACCCACGCAAGAGCACTCGTGAGAAGCCGCATAATATATGGATGAGAGATTTTGTAACGGGAAAGAAATGAATTGGGGTATTTAGGCTAGTTGTTGGATCACGGTAGGGGAGGTTGTTTTTTGAAGAACTTCTTCTTCCTTCGGTAATCTCTTTTCTCACCTCACCCTCTTCTTTTCTTTCTGCTCCTCACCTAATATCTTCACTGTAACAACTCCTATGCTCATAGTGAATAATACACATACTACAGCCTGGTTTATTCTTTTTTTTTTGTTCTCTCTCTCTCGCTCTCTGTTTAGTAAGTAAAAGGGTTACAAACTACAGGTTGAATTCAACAATTTAATGTGAGTTTTTGTAAATGTGGAGTATGTGATCCGTAGTTACTCCTCCACCATTCAGCTGCAATGCAACAACTTATTAGCGTTCACATTTAGTTCACACTCAATTACATCGCCAAATTCATGATCATTTAAAATTATAAAAATAATTTTTTCGTAACCAAGAACCAAGGTAGACCATTTTCTAATTGCTACCTTGGAACCAAAGTGGCCTCTAGCTCTTTTGTAGATTAGAAACTGAGAATTACATGCTCAAAGATATTTCAATTCCTTGTCACAACCAAATGAACCACAAGTCAAGCTCAACACTTAAATGACAATTTTTTGTAACTACGGCGTATGTCCCATAACCATAAGTCAGTAAATCAACACTGTGTTGGTTTCTCTTTTACCTTTAGTTTGCTTTTACTTCAATCACTCATAAAAAGTAAACACTTTTCTAAGATTGTTTTTCGAGTAAGCTACCTTTGTAACGCGAGGAAGGTTGTGGCAAGTTCATATATACCGAACCCTGCGTTATTGGGTGAACCTCCTTAATAGTGTTCAATGGATAAACTTTTAATCCTGGCTAGTGAGGAATTATATTTATTATCTAATTAGAACTTTTTCTTTACATTCCAAAATCCAAATTAGATTAATATATTTGTGAGGATTCTTCTTTTCTACTGATCTCAATTTCATTTATTATTTGCAGCTTTCTACTGAAAGAATTGAGATTCCATATGTCCTTATTATTTCTGAGGCTGACAAATTTTGTAATCTTGTCACCAATGATTCTCTTTTTAATCAACTCTCTAGCATTCGGAATCTTTATCCAGCTTATACAGTTTGTTACCTCACCAATAGGTTGTTGGCTTACATTAATAAAAGGTGAGTGATATATTACAATTTTCTTAATACTTCGATTCTATAGCGTGTGCATATATGGGTTTTTGTCACCAATTCTATAGCGCGGGCATATATTACAGTTCTTCTTTGTCACCAATTTTCTTATTACAACCAATGGGCTGTTGTCACATTTATGTTTTAGCTTATTGTGTTATGTTGATATAGCGTGCGCATATATCTGCTAATTCATCTCGAGCACAGGATAACTTAATATTAAGTTTTAATCAAACTCCCGAAACTAATAAATGGAATTTGATATAATAAAAAAATTAAGCACTCAGTACCTTTTTTACATTATACTATAATACATGCATTTGGGTTAACTTTAATTTTTCCTAATTCATACTCATAATTATTACCCATAACTCTCTTATAAAAAGGCTGACTCATCAGCCATCACTCATTTGATACGGCCTTAATTAGGTAAATGGCCAAGTAAACATCTGTATTCATTTACACCCTTGTAAACTTTTTTTTATTAAATTACACTCCTATAAACCATTACATATCTATTGAAATGTTATCAATAAAATATTGCGTAGTTGGAATTTGGAAACTTGTTATACTGGCCTTTCTTGTTGAGAACTGAGAAACTTGAACATGTACCTCATTTTCTACTCTGAACATTTATTTTAAATACAATTTTATAAATACAAGATTTACTTGAGTTGCTTGTAGTACAAATTTTTTATTTCATAATATTATTTTTTCTATGATCCACCAGGGAACAGGAAAAATATAAGAACCCTGAAAACAATAGTTGTTGGAGACGTCCGCCTATTGAGGAGGTTTAATAACTGGCCCTCTGATTACCAAATTATAAGGAACATTTCATGTTTAAAATCATTGCCTTCTTGAAGCATATATCATTTTTGTTTTAAATTTTCTTGTAGGTTCTGGCAAAACTAACGACTAATTTCAACAAAGTACATTCCAGGCAGTGTGTAGATGAGGCTGAACTGGCCGAACATGTTGTTGGTTTGACATGCAGTTTGGCATCATGTCAGTTCAGGTACTTGATGCCTGTATTTATGGTATTGAATTAGTGTCCTGTCAAATTTGGAAGGAGAAGTGTTTTATATGCAAAACTTCGACATGTAAAACCAGTTGTGCAGAATTCATTGAAGGATACATTGATGAAAGATAAAATTTGATTTGTCTACTAATTATTTTTCATATCTATTTTATAAAAAAATTGTTTTCTTCATCGCATTTTAAGCATTCATTTTTCCAGCTTGCAAGAACAACTTAAATGTACTAGAACTGGTGTTATTTGGAAGACACAATACCTGCCTGCCTTATGTTTAACACTGAAAATATGTTCCATATTCGTGTAATTTATCTTCTTTCCTTTGAAGATTACAGCATTTTTGTTCATTTGAACTGCAGAAAGAAGTTAACCCGATTATCTGTATATGCAAATGGAGCTCTTGTTCCGAAGGACTGTGTTGACCGGAATTTGATAAAGAAATCTTTATGGTGAGTGATTTTGACATTGTTATATTGGATAGAAAAATGCTAGCATTTAATTGCTTAAAACAAAAAAGTGTGAAATGAAAATGCTTAAGCATTTAAGCTGTTGCCAACGCAAAAGGCATTTAATACTTTATTCTTTTGGTAATTAGGAAAACTATTAGAAGGATTTGTAATTTTTCTATTGCATGATTTATTTGAAACCAATACCTGACTACTAATTTCTATTGCATTTAATACTTGTGCATTGAATTACTCTTTTTCATAGTTTTTTAACTGTATTGTGGTCTTCCTTAGGCCTTTTAGGTTGGGGTTTAATACTTCAATTAAGTTTAAGCTAAAGGACTACTGAAGAGATTCTTTAGCTTCTTATTCATTCAAGATGAAGAATAAATGTTCCTCATCTTTGCGATCCATATCTCGTTTCTATCAAAATATTGCTTCGTAATGTGCAACAAAGAAAATTACTGCTTGGTGGCCTGTGTTATTTTGTACGTGATTGATTTGACATTTCTGCCACTCACTTTACTGATACATAATCTTCGTGGAAGAAATGTATGATATATTATCCAATTGACCTAAAAATATTTGGTTTTCCGTTTTCTTCTCTGTACTCCGTCAACAATATTCTATAACATTTATATATTTTGGTACTTTTAAGCTACTCTCCTTGTTGTGAAGCAAATGGGGCTTTTATTTAGGCAGTGTCTCACTCTGTTCTGCTTTTTAATCCTTGTATTCCTCACCTTGACTTCCATTACCAGGTTAAAAGCTTTGGTTTCTATCCCCAAGGTTCAGCCACGATTTGCCATTGCTATCTGGAAGAAATACCCAACCATGAAGTCCCTGTTAAGTGTTTATATGGATCCACGTAAATCGGTATGTGTTGTTAAGATTTACTTTGTTTGCAGTAAATTTGGCCTCTAAGAAATGTCATATATTTTGACATCTTTTAGTTGCTTTATTTACAAATAACTGCTGATAAAAGAAAGGGTGACAAGTTATTATTATTATCCTTGTTAACGATGGATGGTGCAATACAAAAAATAAGACTCTGCTTTTATTGCCACAGGAGCACGAGAAGGAATTTTTACTTAAAGACTTGATGACAGAAGGTTTGCTTGGTGGTGACCGAAGGCTAGGTGAGGTTTGTTCAAAGAGAGTATATAGAATTCTAATGGCGCAAAGTGGATGCACTCTTACAGATGATGTCGAGAATGGTGCTGATTTCTTTGAACGTCAGTCATGAATAGCTTTGTCCTTCTGTTTAGATGTTTCAATAGATTTAATTTATAAGAAATTTAAATATATTATTAATATTTTATATTAGTGTTGATAATATAGAAATAATTTAAAAAAAAAGTATAGAAGAAAAGACTCATTATACTAAAATAAATTATTCGTATTCTACTGCCAATTAGAAAAGAAATTAATGTTTTTTTTTTATCACGCATCTTCGTAAAGGGAAGAATGAATTATCAATACGCAATAAAACATTCAGACTTAATTGACAAGAATTGTAAAAGAAATGAGAAGATCACGTTTCGTGGGGCGATTTCAGAAGAGGCCCGTAGAGGCTTGATAGCTTCTCTGGATGAAGCCGAAAATCCAACGCAGAAAAGGACTTACGCAAGGAAGCACTTTCATTGCCTTGGTTGCGATTGATAATATCAATTATTGAGGCTTGTAAGAGGGTATAGTTTTTTATGTTCTTAAGAGCATTCGGATGGCCCTCTGTTTTAGGGGATTTTTTCACACTTGAGAGAAAAAGTGGGGATATAGATCCGTTCATGCTCGTGCTACTCTCCTTCATCAAAAGTGACCAAGTCTCCCTTCCACTTTTCCCAATTTCTTCACCTTTCATCTCTCTTGCCACACTCTTCTGTTGTCACAACCAAAAGCACACAAGTTATTATCTATCTTTTCACTAAATCCAAATACCTAGCTTCAAGATGAAGACAAAGGATACCACAACCATCTCTATTAATTCATTCTCTTGTGTAAATTTCCACATATATGAGAAATCTATCTTAGCTTCAAAAACTTATAAAGAAATTATTAAAAATTCTGAATAAAAGATATAAATATTTTTTTTTCAATTTATCAGTTTCATATCATTTAAATAGTTTTTATCATTAAAATATTACTTTTTTAATGTTTAGTTATTTTTTTAATCTTGGAATTTAAGATGGTTCTGAATTAAATTTTTAAAAAAGTTATTTTAAAAATTATGATTTAAATTCATTGGCACTAAATTTGAAGTTGATTAATCTATCAAAATTTTGCCACTAAAGCCATATTTTATTAAATTTAAAAGATTAAAATATGTTTTTAATTTAATATTTATTTAAATTTTAAAAGTTAAAAATATAATTAAACCTTAATTAAATTTACCATTACCTATGATTCTACTGACAGCTTTGGCCAATTTCAATTCTAAATTATCCTCGTAGCATTGGTTGTTAAAGAGAGCACCCGTTGCTATGATTCTTTTTAGTGATTCCATAATTCTCTTTTTACTCATGAAAATATTTTCAATGATGAAAAGAAAAAAGTTGTGAAGTCTATTTAAGAAAAATTGAAGAATCCCAAAATAAAATAAAGGTTAATTAATCAAGTCCTTTAACATAAAGAAATTTGAGTAATTTCTATGAATATGTAAGTTCAGACTCTATTATCTTCATTATATATAACAAAATAGACCCCTAAATAACATTGAAAAATATTAAAAAATATATGAAACAATTTTTAGCAACATGATCAAACAGTTTAGTTGGATATATTTAGTGAAGTTTACCTCTTTTGATGATTCTGAATCTCTCTTGCTCTGTTCAGAAGTATTGTTCTTTAGTGATTGGTTCATACTGCATGTACTTGTTTGAAATACATGCCCTTTATTTTTCAGTCTCTTTCGCCTTAATTTGTCATGAAAAAGCAACAAACAAAAACACTTATCATGAATTTCAAGAGCTCATAAACAATTGTTATCCACAAACATCATGTCTGATACCACTAGGTTGGATACTTATTTTTCACTTCCATCGTCTATTAAGTAACCTAAATGTAACTCAATAGATTGAAATAATAATTAACCTCCTTCATTTAAATTATAGAAACAATCTATTTAATGAGATATCTTGTGTTTGATTTCCATAATATATGAAAAATCATGGAATTAACGCAAATTAGAATACTGCAAATAAAGTTAATCTTTAATCTAAAATTATGAAAGACAAAGCTTAATTTTAAGTTCTTCAAGTTATACAGCATTACCTTTTGCGTCTCTTTGTTGGTGAGCGACCATCCTCGTCTTTGTATATTACTGGTAACGCTGAAATGTCGCATGCTAATGGACTTGACTTGAAAAACTGTAAGCAATTAATTAACACTTATCATATCCGATTTTAGGTAGGGTTTTTGACAAACACTCATGTATAATTATTTCGTTTATTTCAAAATTATATAAAAAAGAGTTCTGATGAGATAATAATATAAGACAAATACATTAAGCAAAGAGAAAACTAACTGACTTGGCTTTGAAGAGCAGTGGCGGCAGTGCCACGTGCCTGAGAGTGAAGATGAAGAAGTGTGGTCAAGAGAGAAGATGCAGAGGAAGGAAAATCCTTGAAGTTTTCGTGATAATTAGGTTTGTAATGTTGTGGTGGAAGGAAGCTTGTTATTAGCTTCATTTTCATCCAATATTCCGCAGAAGGTGAACCACACAGTTTGAAGATCATGTGAAGTTGCTCAACCTACATGCATTCACACACAAAAATGCTTAATACAATATCACACTTCAAACAAAATCTGCTATTTGTAGCTTTAATTAACAGATAATCTTCTCCACATCTGGAAAGACTTATTTATACAAGAGAACATGACACTTATTTCAAGTTAAAATCTTAAGAAGTTGTCTTTCTCGCTTATAATTTCCTTTTTCGTTTAACACATTTCATGGTATGATATGACTTGATACCAAGTCCAAAATGGTTAGATGAGTAATCTTTGTGCATGGTTTCTTACAGGGCAAATAAAGATTTTTACCTCTGTCCTCCCGGGCATAAGTGGCCTTCCAAGGAACATCTCAGCCAACAAGCATCCTGCACTCCAGAGATCAATTTCACATCCATAATTTGTTGAACCTAAAAGAAGTTCAGGAGCCCTATACCAAAGTGTCACCACTCGATTTGTGAATGGCCCTTCTGGTTTTATAGCGAAAGAATTTGCCAGCCCAAAATCTGCAATTTTTAGCACCCCTTTTTTGTCTACTAACAAGTTGGAAGGTTTAATATCTCTATGCATAACTCCCCTCTCATGACAATGCTGGAGCCCCAGAAGCAGTTGCTGCATATAACACTTGATCTGCATAAATTACAACTAAACTACTGATATCAACAACATGAAAAACATGGAATCAAGTGGCTATAAATTAGCAAGTTTTAGCTAGTAAAAATCCTAGTTATCGATAGACAAAACCAAGAACAACTAGAATAAAATAACATTTGCTTGTAGCAGCCTTTCCTAGCAGCAAACAGATCACAATTAAAAAGCATCTCAAAATTTGCAACATGGTGAATGAAAATTAAACTTAGGACAGAAATAGAACCTGCGGTTCAGTGAGTTTGTGCCCAGGGCGAGAGATAATTCTTGTAAGGTCAGAGAGCATGTAATCAAAAACAAGATAAAGACTATACTGCATCCTTGATGTTGCAAGTCCTTCCAGTTTGATGACATTGGGATGATCCAGCTTCTGCAGAATCATTATCTCTCTTGCCATAAACTTTATGCTTTCAGGATCTGATGTGTCAAACCTTACCTTCTTCAAAGCAACAATCTTTCCACTCTCTTTATCTCGGGCTTTGTACACATTGCTATATGTTCCATGCCCTACCTGCAACCCCAAATAAACAAGTTATCACAACCTAAAACAGAGACAACTCTTCCTCAACTCATGAGAAACTATTGCCTAGTACTCAATCATCGTACTTTCCACCCATCTTCAACCAAAACATAACCAAATTTTATTGATTCGTTTTTATTGGTTAAAAATCTCAAATTAACATGAAAATTCCAGTTACTACAACGGAAATTTCACTATATAATGGTTCCTCTAAACATACTTAAGGTGTGTTTGAATTTCCATTCAAAAGCATCAAACAGTTGTTCAATCCAACTTCCGAAATCTCGTGGCTTAATACTAGAGAAATTTTGGATAAATGCTAGAATAAAGCATACATATGTCTATGAATTTGTCAATATTGACAAAAAAATAATCAATGTTACTTAGCAACTTTAGACATACCTGTTTAGAAAATGAAATACAGTGCAATATATAATTTCTCTAATTTCTGTTATCTATTTTTAAGGTTGGTTATATGAAAAGCAAAAAATATAATACATATTATTGACTCTAATAAAATAATTGTAGGATTTCTTAATTTACTCATTTTAATAAAATATGTAAAGATTCAGAAAAAATCATAATGGTATAAATAATAAAAGTGTATTAATATAATCTAAAAAATTTTAAATATTTGTTGAAAGTCTCATTTACTATTTCACATTATCAGTTAAAATCTTAATATAATATCGAAGTCAAAACTTAATTTATTTTTTTCATTGGACCAAAAGTTATCCTTTCATTATGATCAAAAATTTTATATTAAAACCTTAAAAATAGTAAATAAAAACCAAATTTCTCTTATGTGTACGGATCCAAAAATAATTTAAAATGTACATACAGTCTTCATATAATAACATGAACTTGATGCAAGAAGGATTTGCCAAAAATAACTTGGGAATGTATAGTCTTAGCATTAATTACCTTTCCAAGTTTTTCATAGGAATCAGCACTCTTGGGAGCCAAACTATCCAACACGTTTGGTGGGATATTATCAACAAGCCATTTTGGCCAACCTTCCACAAACTCAGTGTGTGCAGTAATGTTCTTCTTTTCCTGAGATCTCTCAGAAACATTATCACCAACCTCATCACTCTTGTCATGGTTTCTGGCAACACCCTTTACCTCACTATCAGTATTATCTCTTTCTTTTTCACTGGACACAACTCTTTCTACCTTTTCTTTCAACCTCACTTGGTGCTTGTTAGATGAAGAGTCCTTGCTGTGGTGGCGGGCGAGTGATTTGGGTGCATCCTCATTGTTTCGTTTCAACCTTCTCTCATCGTTCCGACGAGGAGGAGTGTATTTGGAGTTAACGCATCCCATATCGTATGGCGAATCGAAACTGGCAATATCTTTTTTTGCGTCACAGCAAGAGATCATAACATGGCATATATGTAGTACATAAAACTACAAATTTAACTAACACTATAATACTAAATGGAAATATAAAACTAAACGATAACCAAACCTTAATTATGTTTTATTTAATTGAAGGGTTACATAAATGTGGTTTATACCTCCCTCAAATGGAAAAAGAAGGAAGTGTTATTGGGCGGCAGAAGAGTGAGAAATGGATATAGAAAGTAACTAAGTTGGTGAGGGAGCGTGGTTTTCTCCGTCAACAAGGATTCATTGATTAAGAAACCAATGAGAGGTTTGGTTTGGATTACTTCATCTTCATCACCAATTACGATATAACTATGTTCGTCACGGCCCGCTCCTGTTTCCTCAAAACACCAACGTTAAACTAATTAATACTAGTTATTACTTTCTTTTCTGTCTTTTAATGATGTGTGTGTGTGCCAGCACTATTTTTTTTATTTAAAATAGATGACCCCTGGAATATATATATATTAATTTATATATAAAATTATTATATGTACAATTTAAAAAATATTTTTATCAATGTGACTTTTTAATCTATTTTTATTTTATTTTAAATAGATTAGAATTATCTGTTAAGTCGTCCGTCCTACGTAGGATTGGATCGAACTCAAAAATTATAATACAATCATGTAATTACAATTTTACCACTTGAAGGTCAAGTCCAACTAGAGAGAGTTGGGTGTTTTGACATTATTTTTAGCATTGTTTAGATGATTGAGGGCTAAAAGATATGAAAAATGGATGATGTTTAAAAGATTAAAAGAAAGCCTAAAAAAAGTCTCCAACATACTCTTTTCTATCTTGATTTCATAATTGAATGTGATGTTTCTTGTATCTAAATTAGAATGTGGTGTGCTTAAAAAATATTATCTTGATTATTAGTTCTACTTCTAATATACTTGCTACGTGAAGTTATATTGAATAAATTAAATTTAGTATGACAAATACATAATGGACTTATAATAATGTCAAAAGTTGCAGTGTTAATTTTTCTAATGAGATAAGAAACTCGTACCTAAACTTAAAATAAAGAAATTAAACAAAAAATAATACATAAATTGTATTGTGTTGGAAGATGTTGACAACAAATACAAAATAAACTATAATGGATATCTTATGCATGTACAAACCTTAAATTCACAATGCAAGTTATACGTTGGGAGAGTGAAAGTGCTAGTGAAAGTGCTTTGATCTCATGATCGTTACGTTAACATTGCTAAGATCAATTTTTACGTTTAAGATATTATCCGAAATTCTTATCCGTCACAATTTTGTCTTTAAAAGATGTATTGATGGTTAAAAAATAAAAATGTATATAAACTATCATTGACTTCGATTCAAGGTGATATTTAACTATTAAGCAATAAAGAACTCGTGAGCTATACAAACTAATAAAAAATATCAAATAATACATCCTTGAATTTTTATTTCCAAATGCAGGTAACTAAATCTACTTTTGAATAAGTAATCGGATGAGAATTTGTAAAATATTTGTTTATGGTATTTTTTTATATATGAATATTGCATATAGGTATTTATATTTTATTTATGTATTTTATCTATATAAAATAAAAGTACGATAAAATATTACATATTGATAATATTTCAATTATTAAAATAATAATCTAATATTTTTTTCTTTTATCTTAAAAGATAAAAATATTTTAATTCTTGATTTAAATCAAAGATAATAAAATAATATTTTTAAGATTTCTCTTTATTTTAATATTTATTTATTTGAATTTGATATTTTTTTTATTTTACTTGAAATTCTTTCTTATTTTTTTGTTTATACTTCTTACCATCCTCCTTTTTTATACAATATCACATTTTCATTCAATTTTATTTTCTTCGTCAATATATTTTTTCCTTTATCAACTCGATCTCGTTTGTTTCTTTGAAACTCTATGGCTAACATTGAATATTTGATGAACATGGGAAGGTGATTCTTTATCTATGTCTTTATTTTCTTCCTTGACATCAAGTTTTTTCAAGAATTATTCATCATGTTTTTCTTTTATATCTTTAATTATAGTCAAATCCATGGTTATCAAAATCGAACCGAACCAGCCGGTTCAATTGATTGGACCAAGAACCAGTTTGATAACCAGTCCGGAACTCCCTAAAATCGAACGAATAATGAACCTATCAAAAACCAAATAAACCAGATAAAAACTGGTGAAATCGGACAAGTTAAGGGGTCACTCAAACTTTTTTTTTTTCTTTTTTTAGTTTAGCATAGAGACATACAAACGTGAAAAAAAAAAATTATTTTTTGTATTGGTGGTAGTATTCTTCTTTCACTACAGTCTTCATTCTGTCATCGTCATCACAACACACTACTTTTGATTGTCTCCTTCTAACGTCATCCTTGTTGTCGTCATTGTCTACTATTATCATCACTATAATCATTTATGGAAATATAATAACATGCAAGAATTGCAATCTTTTAATTTTCAAAATTAATTTAACGAGTGGACACTGAGTTAAATGCAATGAGTTATCCTTGGATTCCATAATCATGTCTTGAAATAAAATAAAATATATAAAATTTGAAGTTAGATACAATAGAAGATACTGTGCATTTTTTCCCTTAATTATTTGCAAGTTAGATGTAATTTTTTTCCTTAATTATTTGCAAATTAGTTGTAGTTTTTTTCTTTAATTATTTTTAAGTTAGGTGTAGTGATACTTTTTTTCTAATTATTTTGTATTTCAAGTGTTTGATTATATGCTTATTTATTTTTCAAAATAGCATTTATATTGGATTAGAATTGTTATTATATTGTGATAAACTTATTTTAAGTTCAATATATAACTACATTATTAAAATAGATTATTTTATTAAATCCAATTTAATTCTCAATTAAACCTCGGTTGAACTTTTGAATCCTAAATTCATACATTCACTAGTTTGATGATCGGTCTAATTTTAAGAACCATGGTCAAATCCCCTATCATCAAATCTAAAATAAAACTTTTTTCTATGATATGAACTTTTGATATTTTTAATTATTTGCATCATTAATCACATAAAGTTTGTATTAAAATATATCTTATAATTTTTCTTCGATAGTTGAGAGACACTTAACAAATTTTGGTTAATATCATTAACATATAAAACATAAAAAATTAATCTTTTAACTATAATTGTTCTTGTACATTTCACATCCATTTATTCTTCATTATCAACCATTATCTATAAGTCAACATGTGAATTTATTGATTGTAAAACATGTTATTATAAGGAGAAGTTTCGCTTCTACTTCATCCTCTCGTAACCTTGACGACTTTTTTTATTGTAATTTGTATATCTTTTTTACATGTCTCAATTAACACATTTGTTATTCTTAGCTTGGAGATAATTTTAACAGGTATGATATAATAAAGAACCTTCAACAGTAGCATAATCTCCTCTCATTAATATTCGTTGTTCTTGAGTTTATAAAGCATGTAACACGCCTATTAAAGTAATTTTAGACAAATACTTTGTATTTTACAATGAAACAATAAATATTTCATATTTCTCTAACACAGTTACCAGAATTTTTTCAACTAGTTTAGAATTAAAAAATTCCTTACCTAACAATTCTATCTTGGTAATAATATCCAACAATTTATTTGAGTATTTCTTAATTGTCTCAAACTCTTGCATCTTTGTATCTTAAATAATTACAAATTTCTATTCAAAACATTAGTAAACAAGTATGACTTTACTTTTATCTTCCTCATTTTTCTTTGTCTCTAAATTTTGATTTAAACTATGATAAGATTTTTAGATAATGAATCAATTATGTAATCAGCTTCCCATAAATCTAATTCTTCGACATAATATTACATTCTTAAACTCATATTATAACTTTCACCAACAAAAATTAAAATAATAATTTATAAAAAAATTCATACTACTTCCATTTCTTGTAAAATTCAAAATTTTTAATACTACTTATGAAATTTTTTATTTATATATATTTTTTAGTTGTAAAATATATCTCATTTCATCAAGATATCTCCACATGTACTTTATGTATATCTCAATCATCAAAATAATAATCTAATATATTTTTCTCTTATTCTAAAATATAATAAAAAATTTCTTAATACCTAATTTAAATAAAGAATAATAAAATAATATTCCTAAAACAATCATATTTATCCCACTTTGATTCTTTCAATTCGCACCAAATAAGGTCTCGCTTATTACAGAATAAGATGAAAGGTTCAAAATACAGCATGGTCATTTTTTTAGTTACATTTCGGGACATGAGCACTTGAGGATAGTTGAAATACAGCAGAACGACTCTGGACATCGTTGATGAACTATTTCAAAATTATAAGATCGTACAGAAGTCAATGCAAATGATCTGAATAGTAGTCCCTCCAATGACTGGTTTTTCAAGTAATCAGTAGTCTATCAGGTATCTTTCTTTCTTTTTCAACACTTGTCTCTTCAGCAAGTGTTTCTATTATGTACAAAAAATCTCTTTTCTTTTTCCTAAGACCGTAATTTGGTCAACAAATTCTGCATCCAAGCTGTGCTATTTAACTAATCCGCCAATGCTGATACTGTCTCCGCCAATAGGCTTCTTAGCTGGCATGCCAAGATCAAAAGGTCCCATAGAATCATTCTGTGTTTAGTTTGAATATTACTTAAATCAGAAATCAAGATATAAATCATAACAAACATGTAATACTTCAATGAGAAAATTAAATACCCAATTGATGTTTGTTAACCCAAGACTTCTTTCATCATCATATGGGCGTGAAGAAAGTAACTGGTCTGTCTGAGTCTTGCCGGATGGAGGATTTGGTGAAGGTCCATCTTGATCATTGACCTTGACAAAGCCACGAGAAACTATGAGTAATGATGGATAACGAAGCTTCCATACGACTACATAGTCCCCTATAGAAACATGTCTCATTCCCTCATCGATTTGAAGCCCAATATCCGTACCAGACCCAATGCAACACTTAAAGTAACTTTATTAGAAGGATATTTTTTGTGAAACCTTAAGTTCATTTGAAACTACAAATTATGTTCCTATAAACCCCTGTTAATACTACGTACTTTTTTCAAAGTTACTGAAATCAAAACCAGGGGGTATTTTATAAATTCCTTTATTTCAAAGAAAGCTATTCAAATTGGTCAAAAGATTCAAAATACTATTAAATAACTAGTGAACTATCTCACATAAAAGATTAAAAAAAAAATTGAGCTATCTTACGAAGAGAACAAGGTAGTTTTTTATATCAGACACAGCAGCTACATGAAACTATTTCACATTTCAGTAATGGATTCTCATTGAAGACTGCGAGTAACTAACCTTGTCTGTATTCGACAACTTTAACAAGTTTGAAGAAACATCCTGATTGCATGCCACTGAATAATCCTTTCTTCCACTTGTCAGCACATCTGTTGGGGAAGATAACTTTTGAAGAGGAAATGCATGACATGTTTCTTCAGCATCCAATATGGATGTGCGCAAGTCTTCACCACTTAGTCTTGAAACTGGACGATTATTAATTTGAGCGGCAATAAAAGCATCCAATGAATCGGAAGTTATATCACACGGCTGTATGCCAGCAAATGATTTTGGATCAAGCCCACCAAACAATGATGCTTCAGACAGGAAGGCCCCAATGCTTATATTGCTTAGACTATCAAGCCATGGAGATGATGACTGTTGAACATCACTACTTACTCTTGGCTCACCAACCTAGTATTGGAAAATAGGCTTTTATTAGAACATAGTAAAACTATCAGAGGATTGGCAATCAAAATTCATTTTAAAATTCAGGACCAACCAATAAAGGATTTCCAAATCATCCAATAAAGTTCCAAAAGTAGGAATTATAGATGTATGAAAAATGCCTAAGTGATTTTATCCTCATGTTATCACAAAATTAATTAATGGCATCTTCAACTTATAAAATGTTTATACTACGTTCCAAAACTTTTCCCTTAATTATGAGTGAATAAAGCAAACCATCATAAACATCATTTTTATATTTTTTGAAACACATGACTATAATTTATAAACCAGATCAACCAGTAAGACCCACGTCTCCTGCAATAAAATTGACGTGTAATCTATACAACTATCTGCAAGTTATTATAATGCACAACAAAACATCTAGGAGCCACGGTTTCACTTACTGCGCTGCCCACATCAGTTGCTTTGTATTCTTTGCTCGTCTCAACCATGTCCTGTTCACCACATAAAGTCTCCTCTAAATTAGCATTGCCTCCTCCAGCTACAACAGGCTTATAGGAAGTTGGTGTGGATGGTATACCAGAAGATCTGGGTTCATGTATGTAGAACCAGCCATACCTTGAAGAAAGAACAAGGTACAGTATAATTATGAACTACATAATTTCCACATAGAAATAGAAAGCATTAGATAGAAGATGATTAGATATACTACTTCAACCGGAAAATTGAAGGGCTTCCTACAGCAGCATAAACAGCAGAGGCTGTTGCGTCACTGTCATTAATAGTCCACCTTCTGCTGTCAGAAAGATTTTCCATTATATTATATGGGAAAAGTATAAGCTCCCCTTTGGCCATACTAGAACTTCCCCACTTCTTTCCAAGGTGTTTTAATATTGAAGATATTTTTTTTCGACCTCGTAGTGTGAGTTCCAAATAAGGATTATGCCCATCCTGAAAAGAAAGTAGTCTAAGCATCAAGACCTACTGCATGTAGAGTAGGACAGACATAAAACATATCTAAATTTGCCAAATGCTACACGAATCACAGTGTGACCTGTTCAAGTCCTATCCGAGTTCCTTCATTAATTGGGAAAAGCTGTAACTTGATTTTTGAGGAAGTGAGCATTTCTCCAGGATGAAGTTCAATATCCGCTTTCTTTTCTGAAATAAAAGTATCTTTGTTCAGAGGTTCTGGGCACGTACTCATATGTTCTTTAAACAGAAGATGTTGATTTTCTTTATCAGTCAACAACTCTTCACTGTATCCTAAATAGAAAAAAATTAACTGTTAAACAAAATGAACAAGATAGTGACAACTGAACATTTCTGTAAAATTGAAAATAGTGTCCCCGCATCCAAGAAAATGGAAAATTCATTTCTTCTAAGACAGCAAATTCAGTGCATCAAGAGGGGAGACAATATGAAACCGCAACAAAAATGTATCACCTCTTGCTTTGTGGTCCAACTTATTTGTTCTCTTGGGAGAATTTCTCACCCCTATGGATCCTGTCTTTAGATTGCACTTTGCAGGGGCTCTCACAACTTTGCTGCCTACTGATCTACCCTTTTTCATCATAGCTGAACCCTCCCAAAAATGAAGGTAATAAAAATAATCCTTATCGGAAAAACAGCAGATAATGGCCAAAAACAAAGAGAAGGCACTAAAACAACAATTTAGATGGAGAAATTCAAAGACTAAAGAATAATTAAAATAAAGTATTACCAGAAAATTCATCAAACAAAAATCATCAAGGCTTGCCTTCAGTACCCACTGTTCTGACATCACAAAACCAAACAGATTACATTTAATACGATACGAGTCAAAGGGTCCTCAGTCCTGAATATCCAAAGTTAAAATAGAGTAGTTTCTCATTTCTCACATTGGAATCAAAAAACCACCGATGACATACAAAAAGAATTATGCAGGCACTGTATCAGCTTAAAATCAGTAAAACAGATTCAAAACTCATGCTAACACTAAAACTCAATTGCAAACGAAATTCATCATGACCAACCACTTTTTCCATATTTCTCTTGAACTATCTACATCTTTTCACTTTTCGTCCCTACTCGCGAAATCATCGTACATGCCAAACTGAAGAAAAGGGAAAGAATACTAAATTTCAAGACAAGCAAGATCCAAGAGTCAATCAAACAGCTCTAATAGTGCCTTGGGTCACAACAACAACACGTCATATTCAACCCGAACACTGACATCGTATCTCCATACTTACCGAAAACCCTAATTCGACTATTATGCGATTCAGACTATAAAACAAACATTCCAGCACAACATGCAACTAAACCATATTAAAGTACTGTTACAGGAAAAAAAAAAAAAAAAAAGGTCGTTAGTTGAGTGGAAAAAACAACGCGAAGGCGAGGGATACAGACAGTGATGCAGCATGAACATGAAAAGCACGTTTAATCGTTGGAAATGACGAATTCGGTGTAGCGAAGTTAAATTCAGTGGTCTAAGAAGGGTTTGGATTTAGAACCTTCGAGAAGAAGCTACCAACGGAGCGAGGAATAACTGAACAGAATCGCTGCGAAAGGAAAGAACAAGAACTGGAACAGTGTGCGCGGGAATGAATCAATGTTGAAACTTCGTTAGAGGAGGGAACCAAAAAGAAAAGGACCATCAAGTTTTTTTGGGTGGGGTCGTCAATCATTTTCCGTTTACGGTTTCTCTTCTGTTCTGGGCCTAAAATATGGGCCTAGGACAAATAGTAACCCATCACCTCTTGCACTCCATAATTGTCTTTTGTACCTACAAAAAATTCAATATATTCACTACTTTACTTTCGTGGTTCATTAGTTTTTTCATTCTATTATATTTGAAAAATTTTCCATTCATCTCGTACTTACTTTTAGTGTTAAATTATTATTTTTTAAGTGAGTTCATGATATATCTTTTTAATATCAATGTAATATGTATGTCATATTTATATCAATATAATTAAAACATCATTAATCACAATGTCATGTCAACCAGTATTATTGTAATGTCACCTGAATTATTCATTACATAATTTCACGTTGACTTATTATAAAAAAATATAAAAATTAACATCAACAATAATATTGGGACAAAATTAAATATTTTAACTTTTTAAATAAAAAAAGTGTATAAAAGGATTAAGAAAGTACTTATAAATTATATATTTTAGAATATAAAGTTAGCAAAAGTTTGTCTGTTTATTATTTTTAAAAATACTTTTAGGTATCTAGTTTTAAAAAATTAAAATGCTTATTTCGTTAATTTTTTCTAATTTTTTTTATTTCATATATATTATTAGTTGTATTGTATCACTTTCTTTGATTTACTACGAAGTTGTTGAACTTATTTTTCAAAATTGTGACGATGTTTTATTCTAGTTAATGTCACCCTCTTTCATTTAAAATATTGTTTAAATTACAATTATTAAATAAGTTATTTTTTCAACTTAATTTTAAATTTTTTTAATATTTTTTAAAAATTAAATTAAAAAATAACTATATCTCACAATTTGATTTCTATCAAAGATTTATCATGATAAAAATGATTTTAGATTAAATTATAAGCTCATTTGAAAATTTTATTATGTAGTTCTATTATATGGTGTTTCAGTTATATTTTTCATTTTAACATAAAAACCAATAAAATTTTGAAAATATTATTTAATTATAAACTCTCATTACTATTGTGTTAAAATTTTTAAAAAAGTATCTGGCTTATAATGATTCATAATTAAATAATTGTATAGTTATCAATACATTCATTTTTTTCTACCGAAGATTCAAATACACTTTTATAAAAAAATAAATAAATTAAAATATAATGAATTATTATACCACGTTACGTGTTATAAGTTTTATTAATAAAATAAAAGAATATGGAAACTTATTGAGATCTGGCTCTTTAATTATATTTATTGTTGGAATTTTCAAAAGTATATTTAAAATAATATGTTAACAATGAATAATATATATTATTTAGACCACTAACACTGAATAAAATAGAGGAAGATAGCTAAAGAATATATTTTACTTTTAAAAAAAAATCAATATTAATAGCATGTTTTAGTCTTGTATTAAAATTATAATATGTATGTCTTTAAAACTTAAAGTAGATGATATGTAGCAGATTAGGAAAAAAATCACATAATAATATTAATAAAATAAGATAAAACATGATATTTCTAAATTTTAATGTTAAAGTTTGTCTGGTGATATTATAGAATAAAATAAAAAGATACTGGATAAAAGTTTGGTGCATACTATTCCATCATCATATCATCTTTCCTGCGTCATCATTATCGTTTCCATCTCAATCACTGTTACTGTGATTAATATAACTACTTTTATCAACACCACTCCCACCATTCTCACTACCACCACCTTTATTTTTTATCATCTCCGTATTATCTATTGCTATCATCTTGCGCACCAAAAATTTACAAGATTTCCCACGCGGGAGAAGGCTCCTCCGTAAATTCAAACACCTAAACTTGCAAAATGCAAAGCTCCAAACGCTAATATGAAACCCTTTGAAGTAAATTTTGGAAAACACAATCATTATTATACATACAGATATGAATAAACTTCTCAAAATCTCATGCAAACATCACACACTTGTATGACTATATATTGCTCGGGAAATGGCCAACGTTTTTCAAGACAATCTGTTTTAAACATAAGCTGATGTTCAAGTTCCAAACAGGACGACAATGCTACACAAATAAGTTGAAGTCTATCCACAATAAATTTGACATTTTCACCATACATTTATGACCAAAGATTTCATAAATGACCTCTCTTTTGCTCCCTATTCTAACTATGACAGCATCAGTATGAAAAATCATGACCAGGACTATCCGAATGCATGTCCATGCAATCACTGGAGTTGGAAGAGTTTGTGTCTCTGTTCTGGCCATTAGGATAAGTCATCTCACTGTTCCGGGTTCCATTTCCATTTCCTGATGACATGATATTACCTGAAGGAAAGCTCCCCTGCGCCAGATGATATGGTTGAAGGCTGCGACGAATAGGACTAGAGAGTGCATTGGAGAAAACTGAGTTCTTTGCTTGTTGATCAGGTTGCCCAGTTCGTATCCCCTGGCCTGCCACAGTTGCTCCAAATGCATTAGAGGGTATGCACGCACCAAAGTTAGTGTGCATTGCAGTCTGAGAGTTCTGTTGATGTATTGGCTGCCTCGGAGACACTGGTGCTTCCTCTCCCCCATATTCAATCTCATTCTACAAGCACACGCATAGCTCATGGTTATACCTATATTCAGTTATTAAATAAAACCGCAAGTGTATTTATTTATTTGATGGATATCCTAAAATAACAGTATTGTAAAATATAAGAAGGCAATTCCGGTTCAAGTGAACCAAAAAAGAAAAACAATTCCCTTTTCATGTTCTAGCTGGCTGCAAGCCAAAAAGATCTGTTTGACACACAGCAAAGGCCTAACTCTTACACCAATAAAACATTGGAACAGTATAGAGGGCAGTCAGCCATTGTATTCTCAAGAAAAATCGCAAGTTAAAGGTTTTCTGAGACATCCATGAGTCCTTTTAAGGATTGTCCTTATAAGATGCAGTTTCTCAAGTGTTTACATGTTCTTTTCCAATCATAACTAGATTGACCAGCAACTCTTGTAACAAAAGTTTGCATTAAAGATAACCAAAGATTATGGAGGTAAAGCTCTATATCTACATGGAGACCGGTATCAAAAGCACCTTAAGATTTTAATACCAAAGGCTTAGGGATCATGTCCCTTAAAATAGGTTTTCGATGAACATTTGCCAAATAACTTGAATGAAATTAGCATTACAAAATTAATTCCGATTGGAAGTGCATTATCTTTGGATTATTATGGAATTTTTGGTATAATGACTACTAGTAAAACTCCCAATAATATTCTTTATCAAATGCAATAACCACTTAAAAAATTACTTGAACTCAAAAACAATGTTGTTAAATAACATTTATAGTATAATATGGCGTGAACCACTCCACCATAGGGGAAGGCCATAGGCACGAATGGTCTGTTTATATGGTGGAATTTTGGCCTTTCCCCGTATTCAGCTGTCTATTACCTGGGAACCAAGAATTAATTCTTGAATGTAGAACTAAACATGCGAACATATACCTAAAGTCATGTCAATCCGTCAATAGTTCAATGTGAATCCATACATTAAGTAAATGGCAATTTCACATTGAAAACAATTGACAAAGGGTTCCACAACCTATATGCACAGAAAAACGTAAATGAAATATCCTCAAAACTAGTTGGATGGGGGAAAGACCAATAAAAAGAATATTTCCATTGAAAAAACAACACCAAAGGTAATTACGACGCACAAAAAACCCCCCAAAAAAATATCAGTAAACATGCCATATACAACAAAATCAAACCTGCAAATGGGTAACTATGTCAATGGTGGTCACCCTAGACCCTTCTTGCTGCTGCCTGAGAATCCATTGGTACAATTTCTCCTGTCAGGAAAAAAACGGAAGTAACATTAATCACACAAGAAACGAAACAAATAAGCAAATTCTCATCAACGCATCCAAAGTCCAAAAACACCAAACAGCAATCTCTAGTTTCTCCGAAGAACAACAAATTGGAAATCGGACCAGTGCTCAGGCAACTTCAGACACAAATCGCGAATTAAATTAAAATCTGAAACCGTTCACAGTAACCCTAACAGGGTAAACATCAATTAAAACAAAAAAAGGAGCGCGCTTTCGTTGAAGGCGCGCGCGTGCGCTAATCCCATTTAATCGTTAATAAAATAATTAAAAAATCAGGGGAAAAAACAACGAAACGACGGAGTAGGAGATGGGGGTCTCACGAGAGCGTGTCGTTCACCGGCCTGGAAGGAGAGTTTCTGTTGGTTCATGGCGTGGGTGTAGAGATGGGAGAGGGAATTGGCGGTGCTGCAGAAAGTGGAGTACATGGTGCGATCCACTTCGTCGAGGCGCGTGGCCACGGACTTTCGCTTCTTCGCCATTGGAAGGGGAGCACTGCGAAGTTGGTGCTGTGGTTTTTTGGTGCTGTGTGTGTTGAGAGAGAAAGAAAGGTGAAAAAAAAACAGGGAAATGGCGATATGAAATGATATATGAACAAATGAGAAAAAGAAAATAGAAAAGAAACGAGAGGGGTTGTACAAGTGGCGTACACGTGGCGCATCTTCCCGCTTTTCTCTTCTAATTGCTCCTTTCACGGTGAAAATCGAAAATACCCTTGCAGCAACTGCACCGTCAAAAAATTGGAATGTTTTTCGATTGATTTTTCATGTCACAGTTTTTTCCGCGTGTAAATAATCTGAAACCTGATTTTAATAAAATAAGAATTATAAACTTGAAAGATACAGTGAAGTAATAAAAATAATTAAAGTAATAAATTATATTTAAAATTAAGATAAATTGATTATTTATGTGTATTATTTGAATAATTAATGTATCTATTAGTTTTATAAATGAGGAAATAAATATAAATTACCTTTATAATTTATTTTCAACATATTATAAGCAGTACCGTTTATATTCTTATTGTTATGAAATAGTTATTATATTTTAACAAATATTGTTTAAAAAAGGTAATTGCATATAATTATGGATATATTTTAATAATATAATTGATCATAAATTTATCATTCATACATGAAAAAAATATACTATATTGTGAATCACATTGTTTTCTACGCTATATTTGAATTACGTTAACATAAAAACAGTAATTATTAATTTTTATAATATGGTTTTAATATTGTAAATTATAAGAACAAAAATATATATGCAATATTATACATATATATTTGTAATTTTTAATTAAAAATATATAATATATTTGAATATACATTTCCATCTATTAAAAAATAAACTATATTATACTCGTTTAAAATTATATTTATAATATAAAAATAATATCTTAATTAGTTTTTTTTTGTGTGTGTTTAAAATTAAATTAACTAAAAGTATTCAAAATTAACCTACGGAAATGTGAATCTCTAAGTTAAGGTAGAATAAATAATCTTTTTAAAATAATACAATCACTCGCAATAGCTTAAAACATTTTTTAACTAAAAAAATATTTTATATTATTATGCTGAAACTTTCTTACCAATTTTAGAGTAAATATTTTGTGAGGATAAATTGAATTAATTTCACTTCTGAAATTAATTTTGCAAATACAAATGTTAGCATGTGTAATTGAGTTCTACATGAATTGAAATTGAATATTTGTGTGATGTATTAATTTTGGATAACCTATAGTTGAAATTGATGAAAAGAAAAAAAAAATGCGAGGTAAATGTTTAATTACAATGTTTTAGTGATGATAGAATATTATATTTTTCTTCTTCTTCTTATTATTATTATTAAAACAATTTATTTCTTAACTGTATGTATATGTAAAAATAATCATTCAATAGGTTAATATTGAATATCACCTGAGCCAATATTTAGGGAAATGATTAAATTTGGAAAACAAATAATAATTATAATTATTTATTTTATTATTATCATTAAAATATTTTATATTTTTACCTATATATATATATATATATATATATATATAATATTATAATGGTTTTGTTTTCTTATGATGGTAATTATTTACATATAGTAAAAACATTCGTCCTATAATTTTAAAGTTGGTAAATGAGTTGTCAAATTAAACCCTGGATCTAATTCGAATTTTAAAATACTTTTTTTTCTAAATTTGAAAAGAAAAATGACAAAGAGTAATTATTTTTTAAAAATATAATTAAGTTATTGTAATTTTATTTAGTTTATAATATAATAAACCATTTTAATTATTAGATTTTTAAAAATAGATAGTGAGAATGAATAAATTATATATTTATATATAGTAAAAAATTATTTGATAAGGGAAAAAGAATATTAAATTATTATGTTGTATTAAAATAAAAACAATTCTGTTATCTATTTTATTATTGTCAATATTCTATTTTCATAAACAACTTATTATTATATAATAATATTATCATGTGTAAATAATAAAAAAATTGACATGAATAAACAAAAGAAATAGAAAATTATATACAACAAGAAGAAAGAGACCGTATTTCAATAGTCATCTTATCCACTATTCATTCAAAATGGTCAAGTTTGTAATTTTTAAATAATGACTTTTTGTATATTACAGCGAAATTTATTTGCATCAATTAATTTACTATGTATATATTATTTATGTCATCTATGTTATAATATTAAAAACATAAGTTTTATGTATTGCTTTCACATTAGAAGATTTAATATATATATATATATATATATATATATATATATATATATATATTATTTTCATATAAATATTTAATAAGAACTTTATATATTCTTCAACATTTTATAAATTCTTTCAAAAATTTTATTGATTATTTTTCTTTTGTTTTTTTCTAAATTTTTGCACAGATAACAAATTTATTTTATTTTATCATTATATAGAAAGATATTATTAGTTCTCAAATGCTAAGATTATAGATAATAACAAAATATGATAGTATATACTATTTTTATATGTATTGGAACTATAATACTGTGTTATAATACTGTTTGTTATAAGTTTAATCTTGTTAAAATATAATTTAATTATTTGTTGTGAAAAAATCATATTTAATGAGAGATGATTAGAAATCTAAGTGTGAGTCACCTAACCCAATTTTTGAAGAATAAGAAAATTCAGTAAAAGAAGGTAAGACACATAATTTAATATCTCAAGGTTTTTTTTTGGTTAAGAGTGATATTAATTTTATGTCTCAATGGTGTTATCTTTCCCTAATAAATTTAGTCTTGAAAAATTTAACAGTGGAGAAAATGTTGGGAAATCTAAGTGTGAATCTAAGTCTCACTCCCACATAACCTAATGTCTTAAGGTTTTAGATTAAGAGTGTTATTAATAGTTAGATTCACATGTATTGTTTCTTTCCAATAAATCACCTCTAAAGACTATATAGTGATATCAAAGCTGCTGATTTGAGTGACAATCGACAGTTTGAAAGTGATTTTTGTATCAAAAGTCTTCGTGACAGTGGATCATGTAAGCGTGTCATGTTACGATAAATGAACGACAGTACATGAAGGCCCATAAGTGAGCTTGAGGGGACGTGGAAGAATTTGTACTTGAGGAGAAAATTGTTAAAAAATATAAGTCTGAGTCGAACATAACTCAATGTCTTAAGAATGATAAAATTGAGTAACATACAATGAAGTAAAACCCATAACTCCATATTTTAGGGTTTAGGGTCCAGAGTCTAGGGTGTAGGGTTTTGAGTTTTGGGTTTTGATTGAACACGTGAATCATTGATGTCCTACTAAATCCAACATATTGTCCATTAAATCATTTATTAAACCAATTAATGTTTTTATGATTTTTTAAAATCAAATGGATAATTGTACTAAACATGGATTTATGATTTAAAAGTTAAATTATTTAATAAAATAATATTTCTATAATATAATAAATTTATTAATAAGATATTTTAAAAAATAATTATTATTATTATTATCATATTTTAATTGAAGTTATAAATATAAAATAAAATATAAAGTGGATAACTTTTGAAATAAGATAAAAACACAATATATTAATTATTACTTAAAGTTAACATCAAAATAAAAAATTATATTAATTTATTTTATTTTATTTCAAAATCCGTTTAATTCAAATATCTAACCAATTTTTTCAATTATTCTGGTTTTATTTTTTTATTTTTTTTTACCTATTTTAATTAAAGTCCAATTATTTTGAAACAACAAATCAATAATAAATCAGTTCTCCATTAAACCGGTTAATCCGATCTGCCCGATCCAATTTGCAAAAATTATAATAAAATAATAATTAAAAAATTATTAATAAAAAAACTATATAAATGTATAAAATAAAATTCGTTTTTTTCTTTTTAGAATATGAAAAAAAGAGAGTCATGGATCAGGTATTTACATGTCTATTTAGTTAAATCGTTGTATGGTAGAATCTATTAACCCATAAGTTATACAAATTTTTAGGCAACTCACAAACAAATTTTTGTCATTGAACTACTGTTTTATTGCTTAATAATTTTGTTTTTAATATGAATTAATATTATATAAATTATTAATTTTTAGATCCTATATTTTGAAATTTTTCTTTTAGTTTTTTTTTTAGTTTTTTGTCAACACAATATTATTTTTAATTCTCATAAAATTTTTAAAAAATTATATTCTTTATCACTGTCAAATATTTTTCGTTAGTTCTATTCCATTCAACGTCTAGTTAAAATTCATTTTAAAACATATAAATAAATGTTTAAAGATTTGAAAAAAAAAAGTCGTTTAATAGTTTTATTTTTAAAATTATTTTAAATTAAAGAACTATGGTAATCTTAAATTTAAAGATGATTCTAAATAGAAAATTATAAAGTTGGCGGAAACAAATAATCATAATATAAACTAAAAGATGACTTCACAATTGCATAACAATACAACCAAATAATATATTATAAATATTGGTAAATAAATATATATATATATATATATATATATATAATAGAAAATAAAAACACATTTGATTGTTTTTTAAAACTAAAAAAATAGTTTTTAAAAACTGAACAGTCATTATACAATTTTTGAATTTTTAAAAAAATTGAAATTTATTTGTCTAAAGAAAAAATATGAAGTCATATTGCATTACAATAATACCAATACTTATTTTAAAAAAAAAAACAATTTCAAAACCTGGTTTTTACATTTCGTGATTATGTATTAAGGTTTAGTTGAAAAATACATAATTTTTGTATAAATTATAATTAATTGAGTTAATTTATAGATAATTTTTTATTTACTTTTTATCTTTTAGTTTTCATTTATGCATAAATAATTTAAAAAGAATAATTTTTTTTTCTTTTCTTTTCTTTTAAAAACTATGAAAAAGTTTATCCAACGCATCTTAAAACGTGTAACAATTGTTTCTTATCAAAATCCCTCCCATAACAACAATAAACCTAATCGA